ATGCATGTAGCTATCATGAGACTTTCTTGTTGGTACTTGGCCACACGTGCTCATGCTAGAATATATTTTATTCTTTTCAAGTCCCTTAATAATACACTATGATGGATCCAAAACAAGATTTGTCATTTGCTTAATTGTAATCCCATCAATTAAATCCTTAGGGTCCATGGCCATCCAAAAGAAAATTGCCCATCCAATCAAGGATAAGTTGCTTGATTATGTATATAATTGAATAAATGATAAATTAGTTCCTCTAACTTTTGAAAATAAATAAAATAGTCCCTCTAATTTCAAAGACTAATTAATTAGTCCCTCTATTTCAAAATCTATTTATAATTTAATTTTTTTCATTTATTTTGATTTTTTGTTTTAAGAAATATAAAGGGTAAAAAATTAAGTAAAAAATATGAAAAATTGATGAGAAAAAAGATATTTAAAAAAAAAAAAAACAAAGTAACATTAAGTTAACAATGGTGAACACTACTAAGGGACCAATTAATTAATTTTTAAAACTAGAGAGATTATTTAATTCATTTTACAAAACCAAAGAGACTAATTTACTCATATATAATTTAAGTTCACTGATTAATTTGTCCTTTTTTTTTTTTTTGGATTTGACTCTTAATAATTTTCCAAATCTATGTCCTACATTTTGACAATTTTATTGTCCGATTATGATAATGATTGTCCAAACTTCATCATTTTTATACAAAATTTCTAAAATACTACCAAATTTATGAGAAGATATCCTAAAACTCTAGTCTCTTTGATTGGTTGTCATTTCAGAATCCACAATGATCAGTTCAACCATGTCAACAACATGACTATTTGATTGGTAAAAAATATTGGTATTATTTTATGAAATTAGAGATTAAACTCAACCAAAATTTTGACGACAAAAAAATAATTAGAGGAAGATCTTTTATTGTGTCACAGAATCATTAGATCCCTAAAAATTTTACAAACACCATTCAAATAATAAAATTTATATATAAAAAAAAATCATGACTATATTAATTTTGTTGTGTAATTACCAAACCACAAGCCTTTAAAAAAAAAAAAAAAAAAAAACAAGCTAGGTATTCTATAAACACCATGTTGTAATCGCAAACAATTTCTTGACATCTCACAAAAATTATTGAAATTCAAGTTCAATTTAAGGAAAAAAAAATTGAATGGAGGAGATACTTTTGCTCCACAAAAGCTACTGTGTGATTCTATAGCCAATTGAGTACTTTTTAATTTCTTGGCTCCAAGAAAAGAAAAGAAAGGAATAATCTCCTTTCGTCATAGCTTTATTTATTTACTACCTATAATAATCTATCATAAAATAGAGGTCATTTAGCTTTATTAACAAGGAAATAAAATATGCATAACCAAATAAGTTGATAACATTTATCATCATGCATGATCAATTCTTTAATTAATTTAATTAGAAATCAATGGGATTCATAATTTAAAGTAGGATTAGGTTCCATCCATTGTTCTTAGCACACAAAGAACATATAAAATATATCATAATTTGGACTTTAAATCAAAAAAGCATTCAAAGATGAACGTAATTAGTTCTTCTTTAATCCCACAATTTCCAACTCACCATCTAATAAGATCCATTCCTTTGAGAATTTAATTAATATTTATATGATAATAGCAAGGTATAATGGACCATTCTTTTCTCCTTTTTTTTTCTTTTTTTAATTTTTTAATTTTTAATTTTCTTCTTTTCTCTTTTTCTTATTATTTTTATTTTGGTGAACTGCCCAAGTCAAGACCTCAAGAGCAACACCTTTAAACCTGAGTAAATTATAAATTAGTCCTTTTAGTTTTGAGAAACAAATTAATTAGTCCCTCCGATTTAAAAAAATTAATTATTCGATCTTTTTTTGTCCATTTTATGTTATTTCTAATTTATTTATTTATTTTAAAAAAAGATAGTACAGAAAGAACGGTGAGAAAAAAAAACCTTTTTTTTTTAAATAAAGTAATATTCAATTAAATATAATCAATACCGATCAAAAGACTAAATAATTAATTTTTAAAACAAAAGGACTAATCAATTCATTTTTTAAAACTAAAAGGACTAATCTATAACTTATTCCTTTAAACCTTGCAAGCTAGTTTGAACATAGTTTTGGCTTTAGCCTTTTTGTGTTAACCGTGTGTGTATATTTTATAGTTTTGATGATGCAAAGTGTCTGTGACATTATAGCAACCTTTCACTTTTGGTCCATTTGTTTTTAGCTTTGGATTTTCTTACTTAGTGAAGGTGATAGGCTTTTGCTTTCAATAATGCCCTTTTAAAAAAAACCAAGCCCTTGTCATGTATAAGCCTCTAAAAGGTCAAATCCTTGTCCCCATATGGAAGTTCTGATGTCATAATCTTCCATGATTTCAGGTTTTTGTTCCCAAATCACTCTAATTTTTTTATCTCTTAATGCTTATTATAAAGTGGTAATGGGTGTAACGTGGGGGATGATTCTCTTGGACTGTCTTAATAAACTCCTCCCTTTAGAGTAAATTATAAATTAGTCACTCTAATTTTGATAAATGAATTAATTAGTCTTTCTAGTTTTAAAAATTAACTCGTTTAGTCCTTTTGACTAATGTTAACCACGACGGATTTAATATTTTTTTATTTTATAAAATATTTTTTTCTCAGGAACCTTTTCATATTTTTACTCGTATTTTATTTCTTTTTTATTTTTTAAAATAAAAAATCAAAATAAATTGAAAAATAACAAAAAGAACTAAACAATTAGTTTTTGAAAATAAGAGGACTAATTAATTAGTTTCTTGAAGTGAGAGGGACTAATTTATAATTTACTCCCTTCCTTTACCTAAAGCACAACTAGTTTTGGATATTATAACGAGGGTCAAGAGTCAAAAATCCAAGTTTTTAGGCTTTTCTTTCTTTGATATTTAACATTTTATTAGGCCCAAAGATGAAACTTTACAATTTATTAACACTTGAAAGCTACTTGGTGAAAATGAGAGTGGTTGAAAACCACTCAAGGAATCAAAGAAAAAGGATTGGCATGATGGATGCCAATTTTTGGGCTTAGAAAAAGATCCCTTTGAAGTTTCAAAGACATGGATGATGCCCCATACCACATATGGCCCATCATTAAAGAATCACCCATGGCCTTGGAGTGAGGTTTTCTTTGGGATTTCCTTACATGCATGTGTGGAGGAGAGTGTATTTTTTTGTCTTAGAAAGTCTTCCACTACATGTATTAAATGTCAAACAATTTAAAATTTGCCTGAATTTTAAGTTGTTTAAAAATTAAGTTCTTAATTTTTTATTTCAAATTGAACTTGTTTTTTAATTATTTTTCAATTGAAATTGAGTCTTTTTGATAGGTTTTCGATAATTTTAACATGTAAGTGTAGCTACCTGGTAGGTAAAAACTTAGTAAAACTTATATGTGTATTTTTTTCTTCAAAACTTGTTTATTTTCTCCTAAAAGCAAAAAAAGTTAGCTATTAGAGAATATTTTCAAAGAAATAAACAAATTTTAAAGGAAAACGCAAACCATCCGTGATTTTTGACCTATCTTTTGCTGTTGAGAAAACTAAAAAACCAGTCATATACAAATCATGTGTATTTGCATTATTAAAATTGACGAAAGTCTGATAGAAAAACTTAATTTTAAATAAAAACTAATTAAAAAGAGATTTATTTCAAAATTAAAAGTTGAAGAACTAATTTATAAAAGAAGATTTGTATCGTTTAGTTTAAATTTGATGGAACATTTTTCTGCTAGATGAATAGAGGATAGTACAAATATTGTAAAATTGTTTAGGCACTAATTTTAATAAAAACAGTCCAACCTCCAATTTTATAAGCATGACCTGCCTACCCAATTCAAATGGGCCTATATAATTTGTACCAAGTTCCAAAACGCAATCCCTTCCGTCCAATTATATGCACAGCCTCCAACCAATCTAGTTGGTAATGGATCGGGATGGGGTTGGCATGGTTTTTGGATATTGATAGCCCTTTTTAATATACTCAACAGATTTAGGTATATGTCTCTTTTTGTCATTGTTCAAAAAATTATATATTTTTTTAATTTTTAATTTTAAAATAAATTTATTAATAATCATTAATGTATTCACGATATTAATTGTTATGATTTTTTTTAATTATTGTTATAAATTGCAAATCTACGATTACAATAGGGACTATTATTATGGTTCATAACGTTTTTTCAACCACATGATAGACTAGACCTTATTCTTACATGCCCAAAATCTTCCGCGTTCCTATCCCATTTGAAATCGGGGAATCACGTGTTAAAATATTATATCATAAAATATTATATCACATCTCTAGTATGGTCAATTATATGCCTTGCATTATAAGCAAGAAAGGAGTAGGGTTCTGTTAGGCTGCTTTAAACTACCAACCATTTCATGGAACACATAATCCTTGCTCCACCAAAGCTGAAGCCGGGAGAGGATAAGGTGTCGGTAGTATTGTCTCTGCCTATAGTCTATTTCATGCCAAAACAAACGACAGTAGGGTTCGTCTCCCAGTGACCACAGGACCCCATGTTGGGCACATGCTGCGAGCTCTAAAGCCTGCACTCAGCCATGAGCCATCTCTTTTGGAGCAGCTCTGGGCCCTGGCTGTGGAGGACTAGCCGGGTTTGAAGGAGTCGATAGCTAACGCCTTGCTCTCGAAAGGAAAAAGAAGAAAAGAAAAGAAGAGGCATGGCATCTGTGTCAGTTTTGCTCTCGACCATACTGAAATTACCAACCTGATTGCTAAGAAATCCAGTTCTGTTTTTCATTCATTCATGCTTAAGAATGTGGCAGACACAAGAGGTTTTCTCTCTTTTTTGTTAGTTTTCAGACTTAGTACAGGCAAACAAAAGGAAAAATGAAAGCTTCCGAAACATGCCTCACTGTTCCAACTTTCTAATTAACACTAGAAGAATCTAGAAGCCGAGGAAAAGGAGAAATATACAAGGCAAACATGAGCATGGCAGCCAATGTCACCTCCCAAAAAGTCTCATCACTGATGAGGTGAGGGAAGACGAGAGGAATTTCAGCCCAGTAGATCCACCAGGGAAGTATGAAACCGCATAGTATACAAGGGCAAGAACCTGCATATTCATTTAAAACAACATCTCAATGTCAGACAGGGTAATCTTTTTTCATTAAAATCATGTTTGATGGATGCATCTGGCAAATTCCAGAACTACTCTTTCCAGAGGAACTTCTAATGAATAAAGGACATCATGGAAAAACAACCAAAAATGAACATAGCTGAGAAGCACCATGGATATACAATTGTGACGAGTTAAACGAGTGGAGAGACTGCAATAAAATCAATGTCTAGAGCCAAACTCTCATAGCAAGGCATAAACAGATGAGAGAGAGAGAGAAACTGAATGATGGAAGCTACCTGTATCACGGAGAAGAGTACAGAGAGAACATAGCTGTGAAGCACCATGGATACATATAGGGTACCCACCATACTGCCTATGAATCCCAACGTAAATGGAAGCCTCTGTAGAAACATTGAAGAGAAAAGAACAAAAATTTCAAAGCATTAGAAGTGCACCAACACAATATAGAAATAAGCATGCCAAGTAAATTTCTAATGGAGGCATAGCCAATACCTCTTTTGATGTCATGTGAGCAAGTTGATTCTTGGGACCCTTGAGTGCAAAGAATGACCCAATAATAAAGCAACAACCTAGTGTAAAACAGATAGCAAACTTCTGGGGCAGGAGTACTATGACAGGAAGGAACAGGGAAAATGAAATGAAAACAAAGAACACCCCGGTTGCTAGAAATAAACCAAAATACACAAGAGCTTTTCCTGAAGGAATGCTACTGGTGGCAGACTGGAAGTTCCCAGAAACCCTGAACAGGCATCAAAGAAAGAAAAACAGAGTCATTAATGCTTAGTAGGTTCACTCAACTCCTTCAAAACTTGACTTTTCAATTGAGATTGGATTGAAAGTAAACAAAATCAGATTAAAGTTTTCTATAACAAACTGCAGTTTCTTGAAAATCACAGGTGTGATTTTCCATTTTGTATGGCAGGTTGTCTTCAAATATTGGGAGATAACATCTTGGCGAGACGAAATGCAATAGATAATACGATAGAATAGATCACTTCCCTCACTGATAAATACTAGGGTGCAGTTAGTCGGATATTTTAATACTCCATAAACTGATAATAATGCCAAGTTATAGTTATCGTAAATTAATCAGTTATAGAATTCAAATACCTTCCAGGGCTAAAAGCAAACATATTATCCATTCCAAGAGTGATAAAACCACATGACAATGAATCCTACCAAGACCTTTATGCCAAAGATTGTCCCAAGTTATTGAGATGGAAAAGGGAGGGAATATTTTCTGATCTCTGGGGTAAGTAACAAAATGGCCACCTCAATTTCTTTGGCTTCAACGCAAGTAGTGGATTTTTGGTTATATCTATTATCATCTAATAAACACAAAGAACCTCATCTGCTCTTAAATGACCCATTGAAACTCCTGATGTTTTCGACATTAATATTAGTCACTATATTGAAAATACGATAGCATGCCGTGGATAATGAGATAGACATAAGGAGCTCTCGAGAACTACACCTTGATAAAATTGACTTGGCATCAAAATGACTCGACAGACTACTAAAAATAAAAGCTTTATGAAAGTCAAATACACCATCATTCCACAAAATGCAATCTAGACATAAGTATTATCTCCATCCTCATCCAATTTGACTTTAGGTCCAATATCCATATAAATTAACTAATTTCAGTCTGGAAACATCTTCCCAGGTTAAAAGGCATTTGGCCAGAAGACTGCCACTAATTATAACTGTCAACTAAGCAACACTTATGCCAGTTGCCTCAGTTATAGTGTTAAACAGGTACTTCATGTATTAATTTAGTAGTTTTATCCAACTTAAAGTTCAAGATATAAATCCATCACCAACATAAGAAGCTACAACAGCTTGATCATTTGATTCATAAGACTTTTTTTTTGTTGTTGTTGTTATCTCATAGATAGCTCCTATGGATTCCACATGACACTACTCCATGACTAGAGTAATCAAACCCTGGTCCGGGAGATTCTTTGTGTTGTAACTAGTAAGCACCGATCAACAAACTTTTTCATACCAAGCAAAAAATCCTTTTGGTTCACATCTAAACTGTGAAAAAGGCCTAACATGCACATGTCTAGTTTATCTGATAGAATTCATCACTATAAACCTACCATCCAATCAGGAAACCTAAGATGATTGATTTTTGTACACTACAGAAAATTACATTATACCTCCTCTTCTGATTTAAATGCATTAAGCCTTCCAATAGCTAATAGAAATGACATTTTTAAAGGATATTTGGAATAAGTGAAATGGGGAGAGCTAAGTCAGCAAAGGCACACAGGCATCTAATGAATACTGGAATCAGCTCCCTCACATTCATAGCAAGAAAATAGCATGCTAGAAATACAGAAGCCTTTGGACCCACTTAACTCAACACTCTAAATTACAATATCTCCAAATCTAACCCCCTTTATTATATCTTCCGTCAACTTATATGTTAATCTCCTCAAATCAAAATCAAAACCGCACAATCACATTCACCTATATAAACACACACACCCACGTAAATTTCAATTTCTTTTAAACTAAAGATTTTCCAAAAACACTCTAATCAACAACAAAACCCCCATAGTTAAATTCTCCCACATAAGCACACAAATACATACATAAAGTCCAATTCTTGTCTATAAAGATCCTTTGCGTTTGCTTACACATTGAAGTTGCCAAAACCCCTCTACTCAACAAAATCAAGAGACCCCACAATTAAATTTCTCTATACAGAGACACACATATACAAAAAGTTCAACTCTTGATAAAGATAAAGGTTTATTCTTTTAACTTTTTTTGCTTACACATTGAAGGTGCCAGAAACAGTGTCATTAGCAGAGCGAACAGCAGCTTCAAGATCAAAGCTGCCGATGGAGCCTAATCCAATAGTGGATTCATTTGCATCAGTTGTTGCTGCATATGAGTTCCAATCAGCCAACAAAGAAGATGAGGGTTTCTCTTGTTGATCTTCTCCACTGCTTGAAAACCAACTCTGCATTGTTTTGACTGAAACAAAAGACAACCCAGTTGATGGTTTTTGTTAAGGTTTGAGAATTTTGAGAAAAGAAACGATCTTGATGTTTAGTTTGGTGAAGTTTGAGGCGGGTTGGGTCTCCTTTTTTTATTTGTTGAAAGAACTGGATCCTTTGAACTTGAAGCTTAGAAATTAAGGAAAAAACTGATAACATCTTAAAGGAAACGATGTCGTTTGAAGTGCGGGTAACGATATTGATGATGATTTTATTTTATTTTTTTCTCTTTAGGAAAATGATGACTAATAAGTGTTGGAGAAAATAATAATTTAATTTTTTTAGTTTTAATCAGTGTTAATCATAATTAATCTAATATTATTTTATTTTTTATTTTTTTAACACAACAAATTACTTATAAAGATGAGATTTTTATCTCATCCGATTACTCATGGAGCACATAAAATTGGAATTGTTTCCTTAGAGATGAATATTTTTTTCGTTTAAGTATATCAATTTTTACAAAACTATCATTGAAGTATTTTTATTCAATTTTTATCGTTTGATTCGTTATCTTATGATGTTTTCTTTGACCTTAAATTATTAAATTATAATTTTATCTCTTGATTGGATGAAACTTTTTCTTTCAAATTATTTCATCATTTTCTACTTTTTATAAAAATAGAAAATGACAAATAATTTAGAATAAAAAAACCCCTCCAAGAATGTAAATACAAAATCATAATTCAGTAGTTTAGAAAAAAAAGATATGTTATCAGATATAGAAAAAAAAAAAAAAAAAAAAAACTTAATTGGCTGTTTAAAAAATATTAGCGTACTCAAATGAAATATATATATATATATATTCAAGTGAGAAAACATTAAAAGTTGGTAATTATCACATCCCTTACCACCTCCCTTAAGAAAGCTCGCTCAGATGGTAAGGGAGGTTAGGGTTTGGGCAGTGATCAAATGTACATCTTCACGGGCTCTTTTTGGTAATCATAATCATTTCCTGTCACAAACATTACCAAAAGAATATAATGTTGTTTACAAAAATCTAGAGAGTTGTTCAAGGTATTGTGTCATTAACAAATATCACAGGCAAACTTATAGGACTTTCAAAAGCTGCACTTCAAATATGAGAGGCTCGCTTGCATGAGAGAACAGGCTACGTCGAGGGCCGAACTGAAACCAGAAGCCATTGCCATAACCATTAACCAAAAGTACAAGAAGGGCTTGCAGATATAATAATTTGAAGCAGAAAAATCGAAACAAAAGAATCACTTGGACTTGATAAGAAGAATCACCTCGTCAGGGATTGGTTTCAAGTTTTCGTTTATGTATCCGAGAGAAGGAGGTATCAATGCTCTTCTCTTCCCTGAAAGGAGGAGGAAGGGCAATTATAGGAACGCCAGCATCGTCAGTCTATTAAGCGAAAAAACGTGGAGAAAACAGTCTATATGTAGAGCATACCTCCGACCTTCATCCCAATCAAGACTTCCTTCAAACCCTTAATAATCTTTCAAAAGCAGAAAATCATGAAATAAGAACAGGCTAGAATATAAAAAAAGCTGATAGAAATGCAACTAACGACAACGAAAAAATTAGGATTTTTGCTCATGAGCAAGAGAACAATCTTGATGTTCATAAATTCATATCTCTACAGCATTTATGATAGTTGATGAAACCATCAGTAAAGAACATAATAGAATTCTGAAATATTTGAACCAAACAAGGAGTTCTTTCAAGTCCAGTATCTTAATTCGATCATTAACTTCTAACTACCTGGTTCTCATCCAAGGGGAGTATGACAGGCGAGCTTTCGCCATTGAATTGATCCACCGTGCTGCATTAATGCATGATTAGATACCAAAAGATCAGGTTACTTAATGGCTAATCGAGGATGGTAAAATTATACAAGCAAAACTTGTCATGGTGTGTGACTGAGCACAGTTGATTCACAGAATCAACAGATATGTTATGTATGCTAGACATCTAAAACCCACAAGAAATTTGTACAACATTTACCTATGAACAAAATATCCATTCGAACGCCGGCATACATAGTTAACTTCAACTATATCTCCCTCATGGGCTTCTGACCCTTCTCCTTCAATAATCTCTAAATATAGAGATTAGAAAATAAGTTCTAAGTTCTAATAATAAGCAACTAGTTATGCAAGATTAAGAAAGTAAATACCTTGAAATCTGACCCCACTGTCAAGCTTCAGTGTCCTGGACGCTTCAAATCCCAAGCAATATAATCATATAAGAGCTAATAATCATTATTGATAAAATATTTTCTAAACTTACAAGAGATTAACGATGATAAATAGATAATCTACGACAAACAAGAATTACCGAATAACTTCAGGTTCCTTCATCTCTGGCATCGGTGCAGCAAAAACAGGACTGACGGATAACAGGAGAGCATTGAATCCACTAAACTTCAGCAACATCCTCCTTGACAATCTTTGTATTTGTAGCGAAGTAAATTTGCAATGCAAGTCCATGGGGATAGCCTCCTTTGATCTTGCACAGCTGGTTCGTGCAGAAGTTACAACATCATCAATGAATGTGAACCACTTTGCTATTAAAGTAACTGGCTTTACACTTCTTTTCTATGTTGAAACACATTATTATAAGATTCTATTAAATTGTTCTGCATTCACAGGCAGCAGGTCCACATGTGAAATCTGCTTCTCCTGTAACTATCATCAATTCCTCCTCGACTTCTTTAGACAATAAGTTTTGTTGATAAGTTATAAAGACGTGCCCTTTCATTTCACAGTTTCCCATCAGAGAACCATGTCAGGCACTTATTTGCAGAACATCATCATTCAAAATCTTCTAATCCCATAATCCTACAGCTAATTATGATGAAATAAAACGACCAAGAACAGACCAATGTAACATAACCATTTCATAGGACTACAAGTAACATGAATTTTATTCTGGTAATAGTTGAATGCCGGAATGTCAACAAAAACAAGAGTGCCCCACAATAACCATTTACTGCAAAACTACAGAATTTTTCAACACATATATAATTAAATAAAGAATTGAAAAGAAAGCAGAAATCTTTGAGGATATTTACCTTGTAAATTTGGAAGTGCAAGGGAAGTGAGGCAAGGTTTGGAATGGAAGTGCTCCCATTTTCAAAAATACAGCATCCAATGTATGGTTTCAGAAGTTGTTGTTAATAATGGATAACAGGATAAGCTGAGTGGACTTGGTTTGTCGAAGTATGAAGCGGCTGGACCCTGAAAGAATGCATTTGGCAATTTTTGGTGCCCCATTTACAGTTTGGACTGTCCCTTTTGGATTGGGCTCCATAGCCCATTCTTTGTTAAGTTGAAGTTGAAGAGGGGTGCATCAGAAATCTAAACTTTGGGTCAAGATCAAATTTTTTGGCTTGCTATGCAGATTTAGGTAGACAAATTTGTGCCTTGTGGATTTGGCCAATTCCACTCTCTGCCTTACTATATATTTCTGGGACTGCAATGCAACGTTAGCATCATTCTGCGCAGGAAAACTAAAGTGCCGAGGATTCAAACAAATTCATGTCTTGTGGATGTCAGGTCCCAGAGAGGCAAAAGACCACAGTTCACAACTGCTAGAACTATCATGTCTAACTTGAAGACATAGTTATGTGCTTCCAACAAAAAGACAAATCAAAAGAAAAATACTGAAAGAAAGGACAGTAGCAAGTTTCTATGATCTTAAAAATTGACTTCAAAATCAACTTGACTGTAGCAAGCTATATTACAAAGAATAGGATATGGAACACTATCACGATCATGCCTTAGTTCACTCCACTTGCTAGTAAAGTTGATATGGATACGGATATAATAACAGTTAACTCGAGCACATAATCTGATAGGACAAAATAAAAGAATTAAGGACCATAATGACAAAAGATTGTAATGAATCTATTCTCCAGCTTTTGCTAGAGACTTAGGCCATCCCACTGAAATCCAGCTGCAGTATACCATTTGGCAGAAGCAATGTTGCAGCAGGTTCTCCATCACCCTTCATATTGAGGTCTACCAGTCTCTTCGTCCATGGAGAGAGGTCGTTGTTGTGCGTCTTCTGCTACTCTCAGTTCCAAATCTTCCAAAGCCTGACTACTAGTAATAGAAGTTTCGGTAGCCTGGGTGCGGATCCAAGCTTCATGGAATTGCAAGACATATTCCAAATGCCACAAAACTTCCCCCATTGTTGGACGATTCTTCCCCTCATCAGCAAGGCATTTTTCTGCTATATCTCCAAACTTCTTCAACGATTCCGGGCAAGCACTTCCTCTGAGACGTGGGTCAATGATGGTCTCAAGTGACCTCTGCCGCTGCCACTTCATTGCCCACTCTGCGAGATTGATCTGGTCTTTCGGCAAGCTTGGATTTATAACAGGTCGAGAACAAATCACTTCAAACAACACCACGCCAAAAGAGTAAACATCGGATTTCTCAGTCAAATGCTGTCGACGGAAGTATTCAGGATCAAGATATCCAAAGCTCCCTTTCACTGCTGTACTAACATGCGTATGGTCCAAAGCTGGGCCATCTTTAGACAACCCAAAATCTGCCACTTTTGCTACAAAATTCTCACAAAGCAGTATGTTGGTAGTCTTAACATCCCTGTGAATTATTCCTCGATCTGCTCCTGTATGAAGGTAATGGAGTCCCCTGGCAGCACCAATGCATGCTTCTAATCGCTGCTTCCATGTCAATGGAGGGAAATCACTCCCAAAAAGATGACTTCTAAGAGTTCCATTTGCCATATACTCATAAACCAAGATCATCTCATTCTGTTCGTCACAGAACCCAATCAGCGAGACCAGATGCCTGTGCCTTAACTTTGAAAGCATCTCAATCTCTGTTTCAAATTCAGCCAGGCCTTGCTCAGATTGTGGGTTTGACCGCTTGATTGCTGCAAGGGTGCCATCTTCGATCTCCCCTCTGTATACTTTACCGAAGCCTCCAACTCCAATCACCAAACTGTCATCAAAATTGTCCGTTGCAGCACGAATCTCTGACAATGTGAACCGCCTGCCAACTCTAGTGGATGCTGCCACAGATCCATTCAGAGTTTGGTCTCCTCCCTTGGCATTGACGATGCTACTTACAACAGCACCATGCATGAATAGAGGCCGCCACCCAGGAGGGTTGTCTTTGGTATCGTTCATTTCATTTCTCCGATTTTTGCAGAAGCAAAAGATGCAAGTACATGCAATTGCAATAATGAGAACAGTAGCTGCACCTGCTCCACTCCCCACCCAGAGAATCCAAGATTTTGAATGACTTGCAGGTTTCCCGGTTGAACCAATTCTGTCAGCATATGCAAGATTCCCACTTCGGCTCAGCTTGAAAATCTCCAGCCCATTCAAGAGAGCATCTGTTCCCGAAGCACTACCTGTGGCGGCAGGACCCAGTTGGATCCAAAGGGTGTTGACCTTGGCAGAAACTGCATCAAAATAATCGTGATGATACGCTATGTTCTTCCCTCCTGCTAGCGCATAAACATCAAAGCTATCAGCAGCAGTTTTGTTGTTTATATAGACCCTGAAAATCCTCTGGTTCGCCTTGTCATACTCCAGCTCACAAAAATGAAACCGGATTAAATAATCAAAATCAGGATCCACTTCAAATTTCCATGACATGTTAAACTTTTTCTCCAAGACTTCTGCATTGGACATGATTCTTGCTGTTTCATATACAAGAAGAGGAGCCACCCAAGAATCGTTGTTCGAAGCATAAGTGACATTAGAAGTATTCTTGATTTCAGCACCAGCATCTGCTGTAATCATGTAGCTGGAATCCACTTCCCATTTCCTCCAAAGATCTGAATCCCCATTAGATCTGATCTCTTGTCCCCCTACATTCAACCTATACATAGTTTCAATCCCCCATCCACTCACATTGGCATTACTTCCACCCACTTTACTAACCGAGTCTGCAAAAAGTGTACCATTCACAGGGACAATCTCGATGGCATTTATGAACCCGAACGATCCCTTAGATGGAATGAACTCAACCAAAAGCACATCATTGATTGCTAGAATATATTCTTTCACCAAGGACAAAGAACTTGAATTGCTGTTGGAATTCTGCAAGTGCAAATTCTTAACTGAAATCTCGCCTGGAACATTGAAATCAGTCACCAGTTTCAGACCATTAGCCTCAACACTAAACGAGGACACATTCACATTATAATTCTCAAAAGGGAATGGACAAAAATGGAGTCTAACAAAGTAGCTTCCCTGCATTCCAGCAAAAGTGTAATTCAAACCATTGTCGAAAATCCGAGCCGTTTTGTAGAGTGAATCCCCATTTGCCGTAGAATCAGTGACAGCAACACCAGAAGAACTGACAGTGAAATTATCATTTGGGGCCATATCACCAATCCATCTCCTACCATCCACATTAACACTGCTATTTGCACCACAGTTTACCAGAAAATACTTCGACTGAGCTTCTCCACTGCTAACAGATAGGACTAATGTGACCAGAAATACAAGACCCAAAACCCCTCTTCCCTGGACCTTCTCCATTACCACCAATTTCCCTCAAAAAACCTAGAGTCTTCTATTCTAACTTCAAATATGAATCCTCTATAACAAAAACCAACAAAGAAAAAAAAAAAAAAAAGCATTTCACAAGATGCGTGAAAAGCCCATCTCTTAAATCCCACAAATTACCTCGCCATCATCATCAAAGGCTCATAACAAACTCATACATTTTAGCAGCATCAAGAATTCTCAACAAACTTCAACAATGCATCAAGTTACCTTCTTTAACCTCACATAGGCACCAGAATTCCCAAGAATGCTTATAAAAAACCAGCAGCACACCCTCCTTGAATCAACCTTCTCCAATCAACAGCCCCAGTTCCCTTTCAGATCTGAACCGAGAAGAAACATGCACGAACTGGATACAAAAAGGCACAGAGAGGGAGAGAGAGAGAGAGAGATGGCAATGAGATACAAAGTAACAAACTTTTTGCTCACGAGAAATGAGACTGAAATCTAGAGAAAACTGTTACAAGAAACGAAAAATAAATAAATGGTGATCTTATATCTAAACAAAGGAACTAGAACATGGGTTGTTGATTAAAAAAAAAAAAAAGGAATGGAAAAAGCTCATTTCTTTCCATCCTGCTTGTCGTTTGTTGTATGCTTTACAAAAAAGACAAGAATCTGACATAACTTAACCTTACATTTTTATTGTAATCTTTTGTAACTGTTGGCATTTGACAAGTATAAGTGACAATAATTTTCCATTTTACATAAAAAAAAAAGAAAAACCCACACAGAAAGTCAAGAAAGACACCATCTTTTGTGATCTTTTCTATGTTAATTTTCATTACTTTATAGTGGGTTTTGGATACTGTTTCTCTTACCAGAAATGGGGCTCCATTATTTGTGAGTTGGGCCACATGCAGTTGTCTGGAAGATGATGAGCAGTGATGGTGGAGATTAACAAAACTACCCCTCCGAGTTTCCTCCAGCAAGCATTAAAAAACCTGCGACTTGTCTGCTATCTTGTCCGTAACAAGGGTACCCCTTTCGAGTCCTCGATAGTTAAGGCCAGGGTCCTTGTCCTTCCCTTATCTTCTATGGTCAAATAAACCACATGATGTTTGCCATCTTACATGCTTTCATGTCTTCCTCAGTTCCTGTCTTAATCAACTCTGCATCTCACAGTTACATGGAAAATGTATATTCTTACAGTACAATTTTTCCTGTAGATGCAATGTACGTAGGTGCATCTTTCTTTTGTCACTGACAACTATGGTATTTCTGTGTATTGGGACTGAGTTGTACATGCCATTTATGGACGTAAAGGAACAAGACACGTGTTTTAAATCGAACCCTTAGTTTTCAATTTAATCATCTTGATTAGGGAAGAAAAAAGTTTATTAGTCAAGTTATTAATGTCTTTATAAAACATTAAATCGTGTCTGTTTAATTTAAATTTAATGGTTTAGATTAAAAAACGGGACAGAACATGACAGATTAGGATATAAAATATCTCGATTTGGAGATTTAACTTATACGTTGAAATATTATGAAATTATGTGGACTTAATTTGAGTACCAATAGAGGGATTTTATATGAACCCTAATCTATGAGATTTCCTAATTTCATGGATTCATTGCATGATACTCTTTTAGGATATTTTTAACGTAGGCTCTTTATTTTATTTTTTTCTTTATCGGATCTCTATTTTTAAAGTACATGTCATTTAAAAGTGCCATGTGATAAAAAAAAATGATTTAAAGGCAAATTTTGACCCCAATATTTTGGATTTGGCAATTTCGGATCAAATTATGTAATTTGAACTCTAAATCATTAAAAATTAGATAAATTCAAATTGTACAATCCTCGTTATATATAATTGTCAACTCGAATTAACTCGTTATTTAAAATGTCAATAGAATGTCGTTTTAGCATTCTATTGTTAATTATGTTTTTTTAAAAAAAAAAAAAACTTTAACTCCCTACTCTTGAACTTTTTTAAGCTTTTTATATAAAAAATATTTTATAAATATTTTTAAGTCCCTAATTTTGAATTTTTTTAAAACCATTTTTTATAAAATATTATAAACATTCTATGAAATATATATTTTATAAAATGTTTTTTTGCAACAACATTTTATAAAAAAATTTAAAAAAATTCAAAATTAAAGGGTTAAAAATATTTATAAAACATTCTTTTATATGACATATAAAATGTTTATAGTATTTTATAATTAAAAAATTAAACAAATCTAGCTTAGGCGAGGTTAAAAAATATTTTTAAAAAATAATTAACGAGCAAAATGCTAAAATGACGACGTTTTTACATTTCAAACAACGGTCATCCCGATTGATCATTACACATAACGGAGATTGAGCAATTTGAACCAATCTATAATATTTTATGATTCAAATTACACAATTTGATACTATAAATTCGAAATTATCAAATTACAATCGAATGAGGGCAAAGTTTGCTATTAACCTTTGAAAAAATAAATAAAAACAAGAATTGCCAACAAAAAAAAATCGGACGAAATCCCATAAAAAAAGGTCACATTAACAAAATTTAAAGAATAAAAAAACTTGATATAAAAAAAAAAAACATATTAAAAAAATCTAAAAAATATAGCGACAAAGAGTGAGGTTAATCCCCAATTTCATTGTCTAGAATTTCATGCAAATATCTCTGTACTTCTTCAAATTAAATAAGTTAATCAATAGGTAAGTTTTTTTCAGTCTCTTTTTAATTTTAGATGGGCTATACATATCGGACTACATTCTTTAATTTTTTTCTTTTTTTCACTTCAGAAAAAAATGACTCATGAAAGCTGAAAAACAAAAGGGTCACTACAACACTGAAATTTCTAATAATTAAAGCTGATTACGAAGAAGATCTTAAAAGGGACACTTATATTTAAAATTTATCGATCTTAAAAATCAGTAGTCGTAGTTGGCAGTAAATTATAAACCAGTCCCTCTAATTTAAAAAAAATTATTTTTAAAACTAATTGTTCAGTTCATTTACCAACGTTGACTATTCTCAATTTAATATTATTTTATTTTTTAAAAATATCTTTTTTTTGTTATCAATTCTTTTTTTTTAAATAAATAATAAAAATAAATTGAAAAGAAAAGAAAATGATTAATTTATATAAAAAAATTAAGATATAAAACTAAATAATTAATTTTTGAAATAAGAACGACTAATTGAATTGATTCTTGAACTAAAGGGACTAATTTATAATTTACTCTGGCAGGTGGAATGCTCATCCATGATCTTTAATACAATAAAAACAAAGTTTGGTAGAACAATCAAATCAAATCAGACTTGAGAGGGTGCATGATTCACAGAAGTGTATAATTAGGATTTGATGGACCAACAACCATAAATCTAACTAATCATTTATTTGGAAAATTATAAATTAGTCCCTTGAGTTTTGAAATTTTAGTTAATCAGTCTCCATTGCTTAAAAACTGACTATTTAGTCCTTTTTATACATTTTATGTTCTTGTTTTGTTTTGAAAATAAAAAAATATATTATGAAAAACCGATATGAATATTACGACACTAGTTAAAAAAATAAATAATTACTTTTAAAACAAAAAATACTAATTAATTTGTTTGTCAAAATTAGATGGACTAATTTATAATTTACTTGTCATTTTTCTATACGTGGAGTTGGTAATTCCTGAAAATCAATGAATTTTTAGAAAGAAATTGTTTCTTTTGCTTTGGCAGGTCAGAAACATGATTCCATGGATTGAACATCAAGCTAAACATCGGGCTCCACCATGTCAACCAATCAAGACAATAAGATTCCTTGTGTTTGTCCATCAAATTATTTTGGTCCAAGAGGATAAGGGCTATAAAGTATTGTTTATCAGTAAATTATAAAGTAGTCCTTCTAGTTTCTAGAAATGAATTAATTAATTTTTTTAAAAAAAATTAATTATTTAATCCTTGTATTTTTTTAATTTTTTATATAATTTAATCGTTTTTGTTTATTTTCAATTTATTTTGATTTTTTGGAATGATTGACGATAAAAGATGATATTTTTTTAAAATAAAATAATACTAAATTAAGCATAATCAAGCACTGATTAAGAAGCTAAATAATTAGTTTTTGAAATAAAAAAGATTAATTAATTTGATTCTGAAAAATAGAGAGACTAATTTGTAATTTACTCTCTTATTTATGAAAACAAAGGTGGTTGCCAATTTTTTTTTTCAACAACCTTTGGATCTCTTACTCTATTTCTTTTCTAATAAAAAAATAATAATTAATTTTAACAAGGTTATAAAGAAAAAAAAATTGACGTGATATCTGAATACTGACTAAATATATCCAAATTGGTATGATTTCTACGCAAAAGAATCACGTGTCAATCTTATTAAATTTTCAATAAAATGAAAAATTATTAATAGCCTATAATTTCCATATTTGACAACATTTTGAAAGCTATGAACACTTAATAATCCCAATTACCACTGTCAAGAAATGTGGTATGACGGCAAAGAAGTTTTAATTTAACTAAAATTAAAATTTAATTCTTATTATTCACGAATAACTAATTATAATTATTTTTTAATGATATCAAGCTCGAGTTGATTTACTTTACAAAATCATCTAGTGATTCATTAAAAATTAAACGTGTTATGATGTTAACTTAGTATGAATTTAATTTTGATTTATATGGAATCTAACCTGAAAATAACTCACTATATGTATGTTAAAAAAAAAAAAAAAAATCCCAATTATCAATGATTCCCCACCTGGTTTTTCAGGGAGGAAATTATGTTCATTAATTAACAATGGTCCAAAGGTAATCTATATTATAAAGCCTCAACCCAGGGCCTAGAAAGGGGTGTGGATCCACCTACAATTCACTAGAGCCCAAAAGAGGTCTAGGCCCATCTATAGTCCAAGAAGGCCCAAAGATCAAGTCTGAAAAAGAGAATCGTTTGTAATTTGGCTGACGGTGACATTTCTTTTTCTTTTTTTAATCTGGATTAGAAAGCCTCATGAAAGTAATTAAGTTAACTTCTTGATTAAAAAGTAGGTATATATATGCTAAATCAAACCGCAGAACGATTTAATCGAGTTGGTGCATAAATTATAAATTAGTCCCTTTAGTTTTCAAATGAATTAAATGTGCTTTCTAGTCATAAAACTAATTAATTAGTCTTTTTATTTTAAATCTATTTGTAACTCAATTCTTTTCGTCACCTTTCAATTTATTTTGATTTTTTTTTATTTTAAGAAATAGAAAAGGTTAAAAAAAATGAAATGCTTGAGGAGAAAAAATATATTTTTAAAATAATATAATATTAAATTAATCATGATCAATATAGATTATGGAAAAAAATTATTTATATTCATTTTGTAAAATTACAGGGACTAATTTATAATTTACTCGATTATGTTCAAAGGCTAATTATTTTATTATCCTTTTGTTCCATTAGCCAATGAATTGAGGAATGGAAAAATCAAAGTTGGATTGACTGATATGTGATACAAATATAATAATGCTAAAATTAATTAGAAAGAAAACAACATAAAATGACTAAATAATTTGTTTTTAAAATAGAAGGGACTAATTAATCTATTTTTAAAATTAGAGGACCTATTTTATAATTTACTCCTTTAACGGTTCCCCAAGGTCCAAGACACAACCCAACAAAACAAAGTCCAAACCTTGGACATTTCCCATCGAGTAACTTATTGTCTACCCCCTATATTTTAAACATGATTAGAGATTAGTCCGTTCTCTTTGAAAATCTAGAGCCTAGTCCCTTAACTTTTGTTCACTCTTGTTTTATTAAAACATCTTTCATTTTTCTCTAAACTTCTACTAAGATGTTATTTATTTATTTATTGAAAAATAAAATATTTTTGAGTTAATTTATAGAGTAAATAAGACTAAATTTTTCTCTTAAAAATCTTAAAAACTCAACGTTTATATCGATTTGATGCATTAAATTTTTTTTTCTAGAGTCCGATCCCAAAATTTGAATTCAAAAAATTAAAAAATGGAGCAAACTTGTAAACCAAGGTCTTAAAGTTATGTTGGTTTTTCTTGAGTAGTTTAAACTTTTAGAAATTAAACTCTAAATTTAAAGCAAAAGTGCTCTTTTGTAGTCTAGATCGTGCTCAACTGAACTGTTTCTGACTCTAACTTGCGAATCAAGATAACAAAAGAAAAAACTAGGGCGTTGCTGTATTCGCCATCCTAATTAGGATTTTCATACCCACAAAGAAAAAAATCCTTCTCTTTTTATTGGTGTGGGAGGAGAGATTCAAAGCTTCGACATTGTGGTTCATAGCTACTTAGTCTAATCCTCTTAACCATAGGTCTCATGCCGTCTCTGCCGAATCTGTATTGGTTTTAATAAAATAAGCCTTAACAAGAGTTAAGTGACTAATTTGTAGATTTTCAAAATTAAGGTACTAAGTTATACTTGAGTTTAAGAATAAGGGACTAAGGAACAATTTACTCTTTCCTCAATCCTCTCCAGTCACCACAAACAAAATTCTTAATCGTCGAAGTCTCCATCTTTTGGGACAAAACCATCGCTCTCTAACTTCGTTTCTTTTCCCTTCATAACATTTTCTTTAATCTCTCACTGAAAGAGAGAGACAGAAACACCCAGGGAGAGATAATTTGTTGTTTCAATGATGAATAATTCTGGGGCAAGCAATGGAGATTCAAATGTCTATGAAAAACAAGTTGAAGGTCATGATCACTGTGAAAATGGAGATGGGTCCGATAATGGAGTTACTTTGGGGATTGATGGTGGCACTACTTCAACTGTTTGTGTCTGCATTCCTTTCTTTCCTTCTTCCAAAACCCTCCCTAACCCTCTCCCTATCCTTGGACGGGCTGTTTCTGGATGCTCCAATCATAACAGTGTTGGAGGTATTGTTTTGTTCTTTTTTGGTGACCCTTTTGATCTCTCTCTGTGTTTTTTGAATGGTGGATTTTTTTGTTGGTTCTTAATTTAGTTAAATTTGGAATCCTTTGCTGTTTTTGATGTGGGGTGTTTTTGAATTTTGATTATCTTGACCATTAGCTTATTGATTTTTGGTGAGTTGTTGTGATTTGAACCGACCTAGATGGGAATTGGGTTGAATTTGGCTCGGTTCCCTTTAATCTGACTCAATCTTTGGTACTTTATTGGAGAAAAAAATGGAATTAGAACTTCAGCTGCTAATCTTAGGAGATCTGCTTGTAAATTTTGATGTCATAATTCTCAATTGGAGCTGATGTTTATTTTTGTACCAAAGCTATGCTATATGTTTTGGCCCCTGAGAGTGATTGAATCTAATTGTATCTCTATTTGGGGAAGTTTTAAGGGTGATTAAGCTACTGTAGAATGGACTTTTCCTTCTGATGATATCTTTTATGTTTGTGTTGTTTCCACAACACTTGAAGGGAACTATCTGTGGTTGCTAATCTCTCAGCTTTGCCAATTGGGGCCTGGATTTTTTTTATTTTTTTTGTTGATCAACTTGATTTGCTCACACCTTCTTTAAAGGATAGGTGTGTTCTTGCATGCTTACTTGAACTTCCCAATTTGGTAGCTTTAATGATTTCCAATGCACAATGTTTGTGCTCTTCTCTATATCAGTTCCAATGTTTGTGCTCTTCTCTATATTAGGCCTATGTCATATCTTTAGTGTTCTCCACGCCATTGTTGAATGCATAAATATTATATCAACACTTCATTCTCTAGTATTGTCAATGTTGAAGATTTAAAATGCCAACATGGCAAAACTTTATTTCATTTTCATGGTCTTTAAGTTACTGTTCATGTATCATATCCTACAGAAACTGCTGCTAGGGACACGCTAGAAGAGGTTATGGCTGAAGCCCTTTCAAAATCAGGTTCTGATTGGTCCGCCGTTCGTGCTGTTTGTTTAGGCGTTTCTGGTGTTAACCATCCAACTGATCAAGAAAGGATACTAAACTGGCTAAGGTTCGCATCTGGATAATACCTAGCACTTTTTTTCCCTGTGCAGTGACCTGATCTGTGGAAATTGAACATGAATTCTATCTTTTTTCATGTCTTATGAGAACTTATTGTTGTTCATTGGGAGCTTAAATTTATTCATTTCTTGACATGTTTTTAGGTGGACTGTTCCTCCATATAAAATAATTTTCAGCACACGGCTATAGATCCCCCCACAATTACTATCTAATTCTATCTTTTTTCATGTCTTATGAGAACTTATTGTTGTTCATTGGGAGCTTAAATTTATTCATTTCTTGACATGTTTTTAGGTGGACTGTTCCTACATATAAAATATTTTTCAGCTCACAGCTATAGATTACCCCCACAATTACTATCTGCTTCTAGTATACCTTCTCCTTGTTTATACCAATGCATTATTCCTGGATATCTTCTTCTGAATCAGATGACTCTTTTTCCAGAGAAATTTTCCCTGGCCATGTGAAGTTGTATGTTCAGAATGATGCTGTCGCTGCTCTTTCAAGTGGGACCATGGGAAAGCTCCACGGCTGTGTTTTAATAGCTGGTACAGGGTGCATTTCTTATGGATTTGCTGAAGATGGCAGAGAAGCTCGAGCTTCAGGTGCAGGACCTGTCCTAGGTGATTGGGGGAGGTAGGCTCTACACACTTGGTCTGTTGTTAGTTCTTCGCCTCATGCAGTCAGGCTGTATGAGATATGTTTTGAGTTTTAATTTCCTTGTTTCTTTGAATGTTAAACACTTTGTTTTCCGACATCAACAATAATACTTTTACTGTTTAGTGGCTTTTAATAGCAATAAGTTCTATAATGATGTTACTTCGTAAGTCAATCATTTGCTGGACATAGTCTTCTTACCTCGTCGAGCATCTTAATTTTTTTGTAGTAATATGTGATAATTGCAGTGGCTATGGAATTGCTGCAAAGGCACTGACTGCTGTAATAAGGGCTCATGATGGTCGCGGTCCACGGACAATGCTTACAAATAAGATTTTGAAGGCCCTTGGTCTTTCATCTCCTGATGAACTTATTGGGTATTCTCTTAATGCTCTTGACTCCGGTTACCTTTTTTGTGTTCAATTATAGTTTTGAGCTTTGAAATGTGAAATCTAAGTATCGCTGTCTGAGTGTTTTCTTTAACGTCTTTTTATTTCTTGTTTATTTTCTGTTCTCCTTCCACATCTGTAACCAACAAATGGTTCGAAGCACACGATATTTAGCATTGAATGAAATGGCTATAAGAGAAATCCTGGTCCTCTAAAGCTTCCTGAATAATCATTGGGTGGACTGATGCCTGTCTTTTCACTGGGGTTTTAGGTGGACTTATGCTGATCCATCTTGGGCACGCATTGCAGCTCTTGTTCCAGAAGTGGTATCTTGTGCAGAAGCTTGCGATCAAGTTGCAACTAAGATCTTAGTTGATGCAGTCCAGGACTTGGCTCTAAGTGTGAAGGCTGTTGTTCAAAGACTTGGTTTGTGTGGTGAAGGTGCCAAACTGATCTGACTACACTCATTTGAAATATTGCTTAAGATAAACGTTTTCGTATAAATTTTAACACTGGGAGGAGGAGGAGGAGGAGGAGGAGGGGTCACTTTTATGAACTCAGGATGCCTGAATGTAGTCCGAGTTATGATGTTCTTTAGCCTATAAATATTAGCTTTTTTTTCCCTTTTTTTTTCATGGGATTCACCATCTTAAAGAGATTTTTTTTTTTTCCCTTGCAGATGGAAATGGTTCTTTTCCTGTTGTGATGGTTGGTGGTGTTCTTGAAGCTAACAGGAGTTGGGATATTGGGAAAGAAGTGATGAAGTATGTTCAGGATCTGTTTCCTGGGGCTCGTCCTATTAGACCACAGGTTAGCATCGATTCACTTTTCATTTTTGTTGCATTTATTCATCAACCAATTGCAAAGCTGATTTTAGGCTTCGCTTTCATTTTTGTCAAATTTCACCCATACCCATTGTCAAGTCTGAAAGCATTGAACTACATTGCAACTGATCAGTGATTTACAATTAGAAGAGTAACATTGTAACTTCTTAAACTATAAACATAAACAGAGATTAGGAAAATCCTAGGACTAAATTGTAATTTAATTCAAATCACAGTTGTCAGCATGGAGGTACTCGTCATCATGCAAGCAAATGAACAGTATAATCTACATCATTCTGCTTTAGGGGTAGCATGACAAGTACTTTTTCTTGCTTTGAATCTTCAGGTGGAACCAGCTGTTGGGGCAGCTTTGCTGGCCTGGAATTTCTTGGTGAAAGAATCAACAGAAAAATGCCATAGCTGACGCGCTGATAGTTCCAACTGTACAGTTCAAGATTAGAGGAAGATTTCTAGGAAATAAAATTTATTCAGTGAAATTCACATGTCCATTCTGCCTTCGCTGAAGGGAGAAAGATTAATCCAAAGCAGCTACTTGTCAGGATCTATCCCTTGGCGCCCCAGTTTCATTCTTAATTCCACATGCTTCAGGAGAATATTTCACTCTTATTCTCCAAAAAAAAAAAAAAAGATATAAAAGAAAAGGATGTTAAAGAATTTAATGTCTTATTTTTCAATGTTTATTCCCATCTTTTGTCTTCTGTTTGATTTTGCTGGATAACTCCTCTCCTGCGTGGACCTTGTCCAATATGGGCTGATGCTACACAGAATTCTTGCTTTTGTGTTGCAGTCCAATTCATCTGATCCCATTAACAGATCGATTATCTTGCATGGGAATTGCCTGTGAATTTCATTAGTTTGATTACGAATCACTTTTTGATAATTCCCAAAAAAAAAAAAAAATTGCTTGCAAAAGATTTCTTTTCCTCTTGGAATAACAGTGAACGCATCTCAAAGAAGAAAACCGTAAATGTGCCTAGCAAGAGAGATTCATGAACTGCATAAAAAACTATACATTAACAGGCTGTAAACCTATGGGGTATGGAACAAGGAATAAATTCAATACATGAAAAACTGCCAAACAAAAAGAGCTATACGTGGACTTCTACATAAAAAAGAGCATTTTCTTTGCTTACAGAATACTATAATCTATGTAGGCAGGGAGAGTGAACCAAAAACCGTCAATCACAGAACCAATTTGTGGTTCCCTGAGACTAGCAGTCCAGAATCAGGAATGTGGAACCATTCCGCATCGCAAACGCCAACAAATGGCCTCACTTGTTGCAAATATTTGCCATCACACTCTTTTTATCTTCAAATTTCTTTGCATTTAGACCAAAAGCATTGTTTAGCTAGAGCTTGCAGGGTCAGGGTGTTAGCAAAGGCATTACTAGGCATAATCCGCCCCCCACTGTGATATCTGTTCCACAAAAATGATCGATAAAGAAATTAAGAGAAGATCCCCATGAAAATGCACCAAAAACATCTTCACAAATAGCCATCATTCAATTCGACATACAGAATACCAAGTTTAGGTGGCAGCTTGAGCTAGGAACACGTAAGAGTGGCCTTCGGCCCATTTTCATCCTGCCATGCCCATAATACATAGTAATGTTTAAGATGAAACCACCTAATTTGGAAACATTACCTTGCCGAGGAGCATATCAATGTGCTTTCGTAGACTCTCCATTCAATTCTCTTCTAACTAGCTTTAGAATCTCCATAATCTGCAATAAAGGAAGTAAAAGATTAATGAATAGATGAATCAAAATATAAATGTCTCAAGGGTATTGATAGGGTGTGTTACAATATTAGCAACGCATAACCATGAGAAACACAATTTTAAATTTTGGCCAGGTTGATGCACAAATGTTCAATAATTAATCTATTTTGTGTTCGAACCTATCCATGGATTTACCTTCTTATTTTACTAGTTTTTTTATGATCAAAATTGAAAATTTTGAACGGTTGAAGCCTGGATGGAATTCATTCAACATCTGCAAAGTTGAAACAATTCCTTGTATGCAGTGCCAAAACACAATGTGAGTGATGAACGCTGTGCCATTAGTCAAGGGCAATGACCCAAAAGAATTCTTCCCTTTATGTCCCACTTCGCTCAAGAAAGAATCAAATTCAATCACACACACAAACAAAAGCTAAATGAAAGCAAACAAACAAAAATTAATTCCAAATACATCGAAGAAGTGTTAGTGGCAGAAGAGAAGAGCATCTTACTCCAGGATAATGTTTCAATATTGGGGAATAATGATCCAGTGCTATGTATATCTTTTCTAGAAGGCTTAAAAGATTTTCCACCTCATCACCCAAAAGATCAACCTGAAATTCAAAGAAACAATCCATTAAACTAATTACAAACGTGAAAATAAACATTCTTTCAACTTCATGTGCATACATTTTCATAAAGCGGGACTAAAAGAACCTGGGGTCACTGTGAAGGGTTGAGCATAGGATACATTGAACAAGGGATTAGATGACCCAAATTTACAAAAACATAACTAATTCACTGAAAATTTCTCCCTTTGAAATAAAAGCTCCATCCACTTAAATAGCAGATAATCTTGGTCACATAGCTTCGGGAATATGAAGCAGAAAGACATCTCCTCAATACACCCCTCCACTCTCTCTTTTTTCCCAAACAAATAAAACTTCAAAATTTTTCCAAAAGGAAAAGGATTTCTAGGGTTCCAATTCTTTCTATTACTTCTTAAAGTCCCTAATGATTCTATTGTGCCAATGAGGATGTGATTAAAGCCTTCTCTATCCATTAAGCCAGTGCATTAACATCTATCCCATAAATTTTAGAATTTTAGTATATAGTACAAAAACTCTATCCAAACATCAATCAGCCAAGAAGACCATTCCAGAAAAAAAAAATGGATTAGTGACAGTACATATTATTATTGTAAGACACACTATTGAACAGAAAATCAGAAATATACAATGAGATATAGAAAAAACAACTTCCTCAAATAATGAAATAAAATAGTTCTAAAGATGGACATATATGCCAACGATTAAGTTCTTGGAATTTATCTCCAAACCAGTAAGTATATTTTATGCAAAATGATACAAACCAACCATCATGTTTATTTACTAATACATGTGTTCTATACAGTGCAATTTTTTATCAGATGATGGCAACCACTAGAAGATATGAAACATCTTGCAAAGCGTGACTTTTAAGGCATACCTCAGCTTCAGCCTTTTGAAGGTCAGAACACCTACTTTCCAACTTCTGCTTGTACAGCAATCCCATTCTTTTAAGCATACTAGTCTTATGAAAAAGAGAGCCCAATTGTGAACTCAGATTTTCCAACCTGCAAAAAAAGTCATGTTTTATTATGAGTGGTTTCTTATCAATAAACTTATTTCCTGCTGCAAAACAATTTTCAGTCAAAACACCACTCTCTACTGCATCATAATCTTCAACTTCTCAAGCTTTATAGGTTAATGATCTCAAAAATCAGGTAATACAAATACAATGGGGGGCATACCATTTCACACATACATAACCTAAGTAGTAAAATCATTTACAGTATGAAGATGTGTATGCATGAGTGCAGTTTAGGTTAATTAAGCATTTATGGTTACCAATTAAAAAAGAACAGGACCAACTGTCTATGCTTACACCTCAATATTGATTAACACATGGGAAACCACATAACCTTTATATAAAAAAGATGACAATGAATAAGCACCTCAAGCTACTTCTTTTGATTTCTTCTGCAGCTCTGCTTTCAAAATCAGCAACTGCTCTTGATAATCCATTGACAAGAACAATTATTGAATCCACTCGCTCCCTGTGCTCCCTTTCTCTTGCTTCAATCAATGATTCCTTCTCTTGAGAAACAGCAAGTAGCATGCTTTTCTCTTCAGCGGTTTTCCTCAAGTTCTTTGTTAGTAGCTGAATCCTCTCTTGCAACTTGCTAATCTCCCCCTCGTACAGTTTGTTTTTGTCCAATGCCTCAAGCAAATCATGTTTGATGATATCTAATTCTTCACTATTTTGTGAAATTATGAGATGCTGCCGACTTGTCTGAACCCTTAAATTGTCAAGCTCTTGAGAAACAAACTCAAAATTTTCCTTCTCCTTGTCCATTGCATCAGCTGATTCCTGCAATAGTTTGTCCTTTTCTTGAATTGTTGCTGTTAATAATTGTATATCTTGCTCCAATTCTTCTTTCTCTGCAATACTCAATCTTAGTGCCTTTTCTTTTTCCATGGCTTCCTTCTCAAGTGACAATCGAACTTCATTTTCCTCAGTGCATTTTAGGTTCAAGCTACTAAGTTTCTCCTCAGCTTCCTTGAAGGCCTCTTGAAGTACAACTTCCAGCAGCCCTTGAGTAATGATGGACTCCATATCTGAATCTTCAATTTCCACCTTGCTAGCAGGTTTGGCATTTTGAGCTACTTCTCTGAATATAATTTCATAAATTCCCTCCCTGATGTCATACTCCAGGTCTGATTCTTTACTGAAGCATTGGATCTGGCTCACAAACTCCTTGAGAATTATTTCACGCAGATCTTCACTGATTGTAGCTTCAATATGTGTATCTTCTATTGAACTTTTAAGATTTGTGATCATTCTCAACAAGTTTACCTCCGCTAGAGAATGTTGCGACATTTTCTCTGCAGCAACAGAAACTTGTGAGGAAAGGTACTTTATTTCCCTTTTCTTTTGTGCAAGCAAGTCTTGTAGTTCGAGGTTTTCTAAATGAAGGGATTCTAGTTTGTCCTTCATATCGTCAAGACTCTCTGCATTGTTGCTCGTTGCAGGCACTTTCTCAGTTTCAATAAGAATGTCATCCAATTTCAGAATGACTTCAGGGATCTTTTTCCTCAGTGTGTCAAAATCCTTATCCTTCCTCACTGGCAAAGCAGACCCCCTTTCTCTTAAGTACTCCCTCTTGAGGCTGAAAAACTCTTCTGTCATCTCTTGCACTTTTGACTCATGGTGTCTCTTCATTTTAGTCATTTCAGTCTTGAGATAATGAAACAATTCTTCCCTGCTCATGTGCTTTAGCTGGGTAGCTTCCAAATTTTCTGGCATAGTAATTACTGACTCATCATGATTGCCATTTGAAACATGATGACCTGAAGACTTCCGGTGCTCCAAGGAACCATGAGAAATTAGCTGCCCACTTTCAGGTAAGGACAGTGACTTGGCGATGGCATCCAATTCCTGACGTAAACTTGAAAGCTCTTTCACCTTTTCAAACCAACTTGCACTTCCATTACCGTAAAACTGAGTATTTCGATCCCACAATCTCTGTTCAAACTCTTCTTGGAGACCTCTAATACAATTCTGGATCACCATCGCTTCAATTTCTGCTTGAAGCTCCTTCTCCTGCTGCCACTCAAAGAGTGATGACTTGGACAAATGAACCATATCTTCTGCATGTTTGTAGAAAGAGTCTAGAGAAGTTCCTAGACCATCAAGCATTCTTTCGACATCACTCCATTTATCAGACACCTTTTCCGGAAGAATACCACTCAACCCCACTATTTCAGAAGCTGAATTTTTCCTCCTCATAGAACAGGACCCTTTAACCTTATGCATTTCTTTCTTGAGCTTTTTAAGCTGTCCTTTAACAACACTTTTAAGCTTCTCCAAAGATTCTTGTAACCTATCGTGCTCCATAAAAGTATCTGAACAAAGCCCAGTTTTTCTAATCTTTTGCTCTTGGTACATCCCTGAACAAATAGATCCCTCCTCTGAACCCACATGGTAAAGATGCAATTCTTCCTTCAATCTAGTCAACTCCAATTCTTTCTGAGCAATCTTCTGTGCTGCCTCTTGTTCAACTGCTGACACCATGCCCTTGATGATTGAATCACTCACCATTCTTGAAATGTTCAACCGATCATCAATATCCTCAAAATACAAATCCAAATCGTTAAGGAGATTAATGCCCAAATTCTCACTCTCCTCGGCATCATCCATATGCTGGACCATGCTAACATTGCATGGGCTGATACTAGGATCCATGATAACTGTAGAACTCCCCAAAACCTCTTCACTCCCCATTCAGTCTCAACAAAACACCACCATCTAATCTCAAACTGAACTGCCCATTGATGTCAATAAGTCAATAAACAGTTCAAACACATTCAAGAATCCATGCGAAATAGAAAAACCTTGCAAAATTTAGCAATGCAACAAAAGAGACCTGTAAGAATACCAAAAACCCAGAAAAAACAACAAATAAACAATCAACAAGCCAATACCAAAAGTCCCATTTTTATTCACTTTATTACCGAGAAAAAAACAAAAACAAATAAAAAGAAAGAATTTTTAAGCTAAAAATGCTTCATCTAACCATAACCCAGAAAACAAAATAAAACACAACCCAGCTGAAAGTGAGCTTATTACAACTATATGCTTATACCCAAGTAGAATTAACAGTAACTCAAATAAAAATCAAATCTTTTCTGCCTTATTTGCAACAAAAATAAAAACCCAATTCATTAAAAAGTAAGCTAAAACTAACAGAACTGAATTCCAAGATAAAACAAACTTAATTGGGCTTAAATTAACAGCACAAATGACCAAAAAAAAATAAAAATAGCACTTTAAGAACCTAAAGACTCAAACTTTTCATTTTCTTCCTTTCCATTTTCTCAACTACCATGAATGAACAACAAGTAAACTAAAAAACCATGCTAAAAACAAACTTCACGTCAGCTTAATTAATACTTCAAATCATCACAAAAAAAGAAGAAGAAGAAGAAGAAGAAGCAAAACTTGCCTGTTTCTTAAAAAACCAAGATGGGCACTGAGTTTCTTGCTCAAAAAAAGGTTGTTACTGTTGAAAGGCAGTGTCTTTCTCTCTTTTTGTCTCCCTTAAGTTTGTTGTCTCTGTGTTTTTTAGGGTTTTTGTTTTGTTTTTTGTTTTTGTTTTTGTAAGAACATGAGTGGAAAGAGAGACGGAAGGGATTGATTTGGTGAGAGCGGGAGTGGAAAAGACAATGTAATTTCAACCTTTCTTGTTCCAACTGTTATTTACACCAGCTGCCCTTCTTGATTTTTGACTTATATTTTTATTTTCTTGAATATAGGAATTTTGTTTTTTCGGAGATTTTATTTGTTGGTGTGAAACAGGAATTCTAATTTGTATTATCCATTTGTCTGTATTTGTATTCTGGGAGGACACAAGTGGACTGGATGTTTGGTCATATCTGATGTATAAATAGTTTTCCATAATTGAATTACATAACAAAATATTTTTATGAATTAATTCGAGAAAATATCAAAATATTTTCAAGACTTGACTAGAGAAAAGACACATTGAAAAAAATAATTATTCAGTATTTCAATGAAAAGAGATTTAATTTTGATCAATAAAGACTCACCTAACATAAAAAAAATACATAAGATCGAAAAATAAAAAATAATCATCTATTTCGTCATATTATAAAATAGGGTTTTTTTTACGATAATGGAATTTCCTAAATAGTTTTTTCTAGGTTTTTGAGAGGCCATGAATTAATTTATTAATTAATAATTTTAGTTGGCACTCAATTGAACATGGGAAACAACATTTTCCTCTTCTATAAAGTTATAATACTTCATAATTTTAGAAGCTTACAATCTTTTTCCATGTGTATTGTCTTTAATGGCATTTATAACCTATGAGAAGTCAAAGTTATATTTTCATAGCTCATTAAGAGACATTATCCTCATATATTAAATCCCTACTTCATCCCCTTTTGAAGACTAAAAGAACATTTTTTGGAGGAGGAAATTGGTGTTGGTTGTTAAGGGAAAAAATTGCTTAATTAGATGGTAATCAACTAATCATAATGTTTGGCATGTTTTTATGAGTATAAATGTTTGTCACATGAGAAGACACAATTTATGTTGGAAGGGAAAAGGAAAAGAAGGAATGTCTTGTTCTATTCTCTATCTTATCAACTCATACAAGTTATGTTTTCATTACAATATTTTTTTTAGATTTAAGATTTTCGATATCTCGATTATGGAATGATTGTGTTATGATCCTATTAATTTTATTCATGGAGGTTTTTAAAGTTTTGTTTTAAATATAAATGTATCGATTTCAAAGATAGTAGTTCAATATATTTTTACACAATAAAATAATTTTTTAAAATTTATTTTTATATTTTTAATTGAGTCAATTTCATTTTTAAATATATATTAAGTGTCTAATTTATATTCCGATAAGATTTTCAGACTAAATTATCAAAATTAATAACATGATTCGAACATAAAGGCCTTCTATTGGACTCGCATAGAATAATATTTTAAAAATAAAAATTAGTCATGTGTAAATCACATAAATAATTTCGGTGGTTTGACCTAAAATTTTTAATAAAAAGATGGATTAAAAACTTAACGTATATTTAAAGATAAACTTAACTCAATTAAAAATATATATATAAAAAAAACTAGTGGAAAAAACATACTATTACATAAAGACAAATTGAAACATTAACCTTTGATTCTTAAAAAACAACAATATGTATCCATGTTGTGTAGAAAAAAAAAAAAAAGAAAAACAATTTTCTCTTGTTCTTTATGTTTTCCATCTACTTGACCAACACAAAGAGAGTGCCGAGGCAGTGGAGCCAAGAATCATTTTCTCTTTCTAAATTGAAATAATTAATTTATTGCATTTATTTTGATGAATTATTAAATTAACATGGCCTTGCTTCTACCAAGAAGTAAACAATCTTAAAAGCTTACCAAAGAAGAAAAAAATAATCCCACAAAGCATCAATTCCAACTAACCATAATTTACTTTTTTATTAAGCAATCATGTTCTTGATGATCACTAATTAATGCTGCTTTTTTCCACTCTTTTAGGTCAAATTTTTGTCATTTAATAGGCTTTACCAAAGCAAAAGTTATGGAAAAATTGGACCCTTCTCTCAAGCCATTGAAAAACTTCCATAGCGTGTTAAATTTCTTTGAAGTGGAGACTGATACTTTCATCTAATTTGATCTGGAATCCATGAGGGTCCAGCTGGATTGACAGATTAGGTTAAAAGAAAAAGTTTTCTACTTTGAAAGTTTGCTCATTTATGCCCTAATTGATGTGAAATGGCTAAAGAAAAAGGCTTATCTTTGCCCTAGTTGATGCAAAAATGGCTAAAGAAAAAGGCATAAATAGGTTCAAAAAAAGTTGGTTCTTCTGGTTAGGTTCCATTACTTACCCCTTTGTTAATCATGGAATTGGGTCAGCATGGGGGACCTTGCTCCCAATTCTCTTCAACCTTGTATTATAACCCTTTCACTAAATTTTTGAGTAAATTTATGAATTTTAGTCCTTCTAGTTTTATGAAACAAATTAATTAGTTTTCTTCATTTAAAAACTAATTATTTGGTACCTATATTTTAATTTTTTTGTAACTTAATCCTTTTTTTTTATTTTGATTCTTTTGTTTAAAAATAAAAAATGAAAAAATGAGTGAAAAATATCGTAGGATTGAAGAGAAAAAATGATATTTTTTGAAATAAAATAATATTAAATTAATTGTAATCAACGCTGATAACGAGACAAAATAATTAATTTTTGAAGTAAAAAAAGATTAATTAATTTAGTTTGTGAAACTAGAGGGACTAATTTAGATTTACTCCTAAAGTTTTTTGGAGAAGCTTTTTGGCCATGTAAATTTTTGTTGGGGAATCCTATGCTTTTACAAAGAGGAAGCAGCCCCCGAATCTTAAGACTTTTTGCTAAATCCCCTTCAAACAAGAAAACTCCAAAATCAACAACGCTAAATATGGGTTTGAAAGCCTGAATTAAACCTATAGTCAATAGGCCCATTAATGAAGCTACCGCCTAACCGAAAGAGTAAATTATAAATTAGTCCCTCTTGTTTTTTTTTAAAATAATTTATTCATTTTCGTTTCAAAAACTAATAATTTAGTCCTTATGTTTTGAAATCTACTTGTAATTTAGTTATTTTTACTTCTTTTTAATTTATTTTGATTTTTTTTTAAGAAATAGAAACAAAACAATATGGAAAGATTGATGAGAAAATAAGAAATTTTATGAAATAAAAATAATATTAAACTAAATATAATGAAAACTGATTAAGGATTAAATAATAGTTTTTAAAACAAAAAAGACTAATTAATTTGTTTCTTAAAGCTAGAAGAACTAATTTATAAATTACTCTTAACTTCTCTTAAATTTCCTGCTTTTCTTTTATTTCTGGATGATCAAATAGCAAATCATCGTCAGATTAGAAAATTACTAATCGAGATTAAATTCATTTTTTGTTTTAGTTTCACACAATTTACATTATTCATTCCATGACATAGGTATTCTGCACATGAAGATGGGCCGTAAGGTTTGCAAATTGTTGGATCCTAAGCACTTAGATTTGGGTTGGGCCTATAGCCCAAAATGAGAAATTCTTTCACCACGACAAAAGGCATGCTGATTTGAGAGGAGAGTTTGATCACAACATCTCATCAATTGATTCCTCATCCTATTTTAAGATCATTGAAAGCACACTGATTGCAAATACATTCTTTCAATACTTTCTATTTTTTTCAACCTTTTAGGTTTGAATCAATAATATCATAAGTATTGTTTTTTTTTTTGTTTTTTCCCTTTAAGTAATGAACCAATTCAAAGTTTCTTAGGACAAACATATATTGAGCACAAAGCACATTTCTATCAAACCAATAAGTTGAACAATTAGTTGATAGGGAGTTTTTATGCATCAAAAGCTTTTACAGTGATTTTAGTTAAGTTTTTGATGAAATTTTTCATATGTTTCGTATTATTCAATATTATCTATTTTAATCTATACGTTCAAATGTGATGTAAAACTAATTATGTACTACTAAATATTAGAAGAAACCAACTCTTTTATCTAATATTTGACCGATTATATAATGACACGTGGTAAATAAAAGTGGAAAGAATGATTGGTTTGTTTTAAAGTTTAGTTTTTATGCATCAAAAAAGTTTTCAATGAAATTCTTCATACGTTTTTATATTATCTAATATCGTCTATTTTAATTTATATGTTCAAATATGGTATAAAACTAATCATGTACTACTAAATACTAAAAGAAATCAATCTTTTTATTTAATATTTGAACAATCATATGATGACACATAGTTAATGTAAATAGAAAGAACGATTGATTTTTTTCCACGTTAAGTGATTTTATATCATGCCTGAAAAAAGATATTAAAATAAATATTATTGAATAGTGCATGAACATGAAATAGATTTCATTCGTTATGTTTTAAAGTCGTTGCTTTTAAGCGATTCTAATTAATGTTTCTTCACGGTGCATATGACCAGCTTGTGAGCATCAAGGGAATACAACTGAAAAATCAAACCCAAAAGAGGGAGAAAAGAACAGAAAAGTCACTTCAAATGGAGAAGTACTTAATTAAAGTGAGGACACAAACATTTAATTGATCAAAAAGTGCAGTCACTTTTGTATTTATTGCTCATTAATTTGTAAACCTAATTTGCAACACCTAGCTTTTAATGTCTTCAATCTCTTGTCTTGACAAAGTTGCCAACAATTTATGTTTCCTTGCAAGGATTGAACTGGTTTTCGTGGATGAGAAAATTGTTGCAATCTCTTTATGGTTTATGCATGCATCACGTACGCTCATGCTTCTCCTCACCCTAATTCTGAAATTCAACAACGATGATGATGTCCTCACATTTAAGACACACTTATTGTTCAAAACGTATCATCCATGTAACAACTCTTTTGTTTTTTGTTTGTTTTTTTTTTAAAAAAACATGATCTTCAAGAAACGATCACACATTTAAGACACACTCGTGGTTGGCAGCGGGGTATGCACTAACTTCAATAAGAATTCGTTGCAAGACGAAACTTGCTTGATAGAGAAGTACTGGAACTTAAATAGTAATACTATGAATAAGTTCCCCAATTATATTGAGATTTTCAGTTAAGTCCTTGAAACACGTAAAATTAAGCAATGTGTTATCATCATTAGATTTTAATCCATATAATTGAATCAGAAGAGAGGCATGAATTGAATTATTTGATTGTATTTCTATTAGGACTTTAGCTATCCGATATGATGCTACAAGTGTAGATATAACAGAACTTTATATTTAATAAGATGGATACAACAGAATGATAGAAATAATGAAATATTAGCTAATATCATCTATAGCAGAACTTAACTTAAAAATATTGTACTCATTGAAAAATAAATAAATAATAATTATCTGTTACATATGTTCTCTTTTTTTTGCTTTAGAGTTAATAGCTCAATATGTCTTTATTTAGTACGTACTAAGATAATTCGTCAATCTATCCTTAGATTATTTATTGAATTAATTTTATTTTTAAATATACGTTAAGTGTCTAATATATCATTGTGATAAGATTTTTAAGCTAAATTACAAGAATTAGTCACACAATTTGCACATGAAAGATTTTTATTTGACTGACTTGTAAAGATATTTTAAAAATAAAAATTAATCATATACAACTCATATAAATAATTACAACGTTTTGACTTAAAAATCTTGACAAAGAATAGATTAAAAACTTAATATATATTTAAGGGTTAAATTGATTCAATTAAAAATATAAGAACATGTTAAAGAATTATCTTATTATTTTTAGCACTTCAAAAATAAATTGAATTTTGTCAAGGCACATATTACTTAATTTTGGTAACTTTAGCGACTTAATTGAACACCTCCTATACTTGGAGAACTTACTTATAGCTATCCCAATTTATTGGGCACCAGTTTTTTAGAATAGCAAACTAGCTAGACAGTAACTATCCAGCCATGTTCAAATCAATCCATTATCTTACGTACCATAAGAGGACTTACACTTTTGCGATATGGAAGACAAACTAAATTCTGGAAGAGTTGCTTAACATCACCAAGGCTTCGTGGCAACTTTTTAGCTGGTTGGAGCACACCTCTTTTGCTAATTAAGACTCCATTAATAAGTTGGTTGGTTGGTGGCTGATAGGGGAAAATTATGGCAAGAGGAAGGATATCCTTGTAGATGCATCATCTGTTAGCGATTGATACGTAGTATTAATTGTAGATTCTAAAAAATAATTTTTTCATTGGAAGAAGAAAAGAATTAAAAAATATTTTTAATAATAAAATTTAAAAAAAACTAAAAATGATTAAATCTCAAAAACGTAAAGAATACATGATCTAATTACGAAAAAAAAACCTTTTTTTTATATATATATTAAAAAAAATAACATCAAGTATTGATCCGAGAGTATCTAATAATTTATCTGATTAATATGGGATGTATTTTCTTAAAAACAAAATCTATTAACGATTATTATAATTGATTCTATTATTATATAGATAGAGGAATAATATTTGTACAGTGCCTAATCACTTATCATGTTAACCATATAATTTGACAAAGATGATAAGTATTTTTTTTATATATATTTATAATTAATAAAATATTTTCAAACTAGTTTTCACATTTATTCTAGATAAGAGTATTAAATATATGGTTAGTTTGGAAACACCACTATTATGATGGTTGAGCTTGAACTGCTATCCATCAAGGGCTATTTTTTTTTTTTTTTTTTTGCTTGGAATTTGGGTTTTAGGATAGTCATCGTTCATGAGAATGTGCTGGAAACTCACCTTTCTTACAATGTCATCATTGATATTTATGAGTACATTCGTCAACGTTAGTGTCATGTTTTCTTTCATCATATCTTAAGACAAGGGAATTGTTTTTTAGTTAAGATGGGCTCGTCAAGTGATATTGTTATGCAATTTGGCATCAATTGTTATACTAATTTGTCTCGTTAGTTATTTTTTTTATCCATTGTACCAAAAAAAATCAAAATAAATAAATAAATAAATAAAGCAATATTGTATTATATCCAATCCAATCCATTAAATTGTGATTTGCATATGTGAGGGTTTATACACAAAAATAATATTTTCTTAATGTAAAAGTATAGACTAATAGAATTACATATATAAAGATTAGCTTGAAATTATATATAAAACAAGAAAGTAAATTACTTAATATATTTTTATTTAATAATCTAAATTTTCAATTGTATTTATTATATCTTCAAATAATGTTGAAATTTTTAATTTGTTTTTATATGTTTTAATTGTATTTGTTGGGCTTTGTCTTGATGATCTAAGCTACATGTACATAAATGTTAGGTACGAAGACAGTTGGGATGATAATTACAAATTCCATATGTAATAAATAATGCTCTACCAAAAGAATTCCATGCATATATTGTCCACCTATCTAGCTAGCTAGCTTGCTGATTTTTTTTTAATATATATATATATATAAACAAATTTGTGTATTCAATTATTGTCACAATTGGCTATATAAAGAGAACTATCATCCTCAACATTTCCATCTTCAACAAATAATATTTCTTGCCAATCCTTGTCAATCTTTAATAAGCTTCCAAGACAACAAAATGTCACACCCAATTAACGAAGCTAATGAAAAAAGTCCCTATGGAGAGCTCACAAGGGAAGAATTCTACAAGAAACACCAAATTCTTCACCAAGAAAGCTTCATTTTGAACAAGAAGAACATGAAGATCTTCACTCAATCTTGGCGTCCGGATTCCACTGATTCTCAGCCAAAAGGGATTGTAGCCATGGTCCATGGCTACTCCTCCGAAAGCAGTTGGCTCAACGAGCTAACTGCTGTAGCCATAGCCAAAACAGGATTCTTGGTTTGTGCACTTGACCTACAAGGCCATGGCTACTCAGATGGGTTACCTGGTCATATCCCAAATATTCAATATGTTGTTAGCGATTGCATTAAGTTTTTTGACTCCGTCAAGGCTAACAACCCTAAGTTGCCAGCCTTTCTATACGGTGAATCTCTAGGAGGAGCAATTTCAATCCTTATATGTTTGAAGCAAGGTTATGCATGGGATGGTTTGATTTTAAGTGGTGCTATGTGTGGAATTTCAGCAAAATTTAAGCCTATGTGGCCATTGGAGAAGCTACTTCCTCTGGCAGCACTATTTGCACCCGCATGGAAAGTGGTGGTCTCAAAGCCAGTCTCTAGCAGATCATACAAAGAAGAATGGAAGAGAAGGTTGGTGGCCAACAACCCGAATCGCCGGAAGTCAGGGAAGCCACCGGCGGCGACTGCTTTAGAGTTTTTGAGGGTTTGTGAGTACATAAGAATGCATTGCCATGACCTAGAGGTTCCATTTCTAATGGTGCACGGGGAGGATGATTTTGTATGTGACTTTAGGTCAGCTAGCTTTGTGCATGAATCAGCTTCAAGCAAGGACAAAAAACTGAAGGTCTTTCCTGGTATGTGGCATATGTTGATTGGTGAGACTAAGGAGAATGTGGAGCTTGTGTTTGGGACTATCTTGTCCTGGTTAGGAGATCATGCTGCCAAGGCTAAAACCAAAACCCTAATTACAAATTGATCACTACTTCCTTGCTTTTGTTACCCTTTGTTTCTAGCTATAAATTGCAAATCCCATGACCATAATATTTGGTTAAAATGTGAGTTGTGGTGAAGTCCTGAAGATATTCATGCCCCTAATTGCTTTTTACTTTAAAGAGCAAATTCTAGGTCTGAATCTCCCTTCTCCAAATAGGAACTCTTTTGAGTTTGAAACCTCCCCTCATCAAAGCTAGTTGGATGTAACCCATGCATTACTATTAATAATTAACTGAAATAAACTACACTGTTTTTTCTTTTTATTTTTTTTCATAGCACATTGAAATTCAAGTGCTAAACTGTGTGGTTGTTTTGATTAGTTTCCTAAGTGTTATATATGTTTCAATATCTTTTCAGATATATATATAATACTGCCATAGGCCATTGATCATTAATTGCGAAGAATTTAGTAAATCCAAAGTAGGATTTAATGAAGAAGGGATGTAGCTTTCCTTCTACTTGCTTAAAATAAGACACTTCATGTGCAATTAATGGTACTTATTGATCTTAACAATACATATATGGATGATCTACTACTCTTAACTATAATTAGAGTGTATAAATGCTTATTTTTTTACAAGGTATTTGACCATTTGTCACATATACTTGGGAAAATTAGTATAAATATTTTTTTAAAAAAGAAGAATCAGAGTCCTATTCCACTGAGTAATTATAATTAGTATCTCTTTAGTTTTGAAAAATAAATTAATTAATCATTTTTGTTTCAAAAACTAATTATTTAAAAAAATAGAAAAAAATATTACAGAAAGATTGATGAGAAATTTTTTTTTATGTATAAAATAATATTAAATTAAATATGATTAATACTAATCAAAAGATTAAATAATTAATTTTTAAATAAAAAATACTAATTAATTCATTTCTTAAAATTAAAAAAAAACTAATTTATAATTTACCCCTGTTAATATTCCGTCAACATGGTTATTTAATGGCCGGCTACTTCATTTATGGCAAGTGGTGATCTCTCTTACGCCAGTAGCCACTTCAAGATTTTCTGGCCACTTCTCCTTCGATTCTATCTTCTTATGGAATTTGGAAACGTTTAGGGATATTCGTGTCTGTATCATGCAAGTGTATTAATTTGTTAAGTATTTCTAAATGAACAATTTTCTTGATTAATGAATGCGTTCACATGTAAAATCAAACTACCTAGCAATTATTTGTGTCTGAACTCATTGACAAATCATGAAGACAATTAATCGCACATAGCCAGACACCTAACCGTCTATCCACCATATATGATATGTTCAGTGCATGGTAACTTCCACTTGCCAATCGTTGAAAGCTGTGGTTTTTATTGGCTGCTTAGGAGGAGATAGACAAACCATTCTTGGGGCGAAAAAAAAAAAAGAAAAAAAAAGACAGATTGAAATGCCAATCTGAATAGCTTAATTCGTTTTTATACAATAGTTTGAATCTTCAATTTATTTTTATGTTTTTAATTACATGTATCATATTTTTAAATAATATTTAAGTTTTTAATATGTTTTTTAGTTCAATTTTTCAACGATGAACAAATTTAATCGAAATGCCCTTAACTAAAATGCAAAAGAAAAAAAAATTCTAAAAACTTAAAAAAAATAATAAAATATGAAAATCATGTGATCGAAATGCCTGCTGTTTTTTCTCTTACATGTGTCCATATCAAATATGTTTCTCTCAATGAGTTGTGTTTGAATTGATGGCATTTGCTACATTTTTTGTCACATGGAGCAAAAATAAAAATAAAAAATTGATTTCCCATCGTGGAGGTTGAGCCAGTAGAAATGCAGTCTGACAACCACCATTGCATAGTTCTTTATCATGATTAGCCAAAAGGGTGAGAAATTGAAGGCATTCAACCCCCAATTTCAATATGTCTCCGACTGCCCTTTAACATGGCAGCTAACTCTGCTTAATTTCTAGAATCTTGCTAGCCAAGCAAAGCTGGAATCTGTATTGAAAAATCCCATAGGATTTGTTGTCTTTAAAAGTTCCTATCTTCTCTCAAACCCTAATATCTGTGCTATAGTGTTTTGGTTCGACAAAGAGGAGTATCCTCAAGCTTGTGAGTCGACCAAGATTAAATCTTTAGCAAACTAAGATACGTCGACATTTCACGTAAGATTCTGGCAATTACTGACTTGAATGGACTTTCTGACCGAGGAAACTAGGGTAGGGCAAGTGATTCAATGTTTTTGCTTTGTGTTTTGCTACCAAAATTGGTACATAATACAGTGAATGATTCATAATAGTCAAAGATTACTGGGGAAGAATTGTAGATGAGACATAACTTCCCTTCGAACTTGGTCCCTTCTTATCTTTCCAGTTGTTGTCAGTGGAAATGGTTCCCTCCATAAAATAAATAGCTTAGGCACTTTAAACCTGCGAAAGGTTTATCAGTAAGCCAAGAAACATCTTCACAACACAGCACGAAGGAAGAGACCTGATGAATCTTTGCTGTCCAATATTTATCGATATAAATTGAATATGAAATTAGGATTTCTAGAAAAGAGCAATACCCGGTCAAATTGTTTTCCCTGCAATGGTTTCGGAGAATCTCACTGCATAAGGTTAGCTTGTTTTCTGCAGATTGTTTACAGTTGTTATTGGTCCATTGCAAACTTTCCCTCAGTTTAATGCAAGCAACAACCATCTCCGTCAAGCGAGCATCTGGAACTCCTACTACAACAGTGGCAATAACTCCTGGATGTTGCAACAACATTGCTTCCACCTGTAACATTAAAGCAACATTGTTTAAAGTTGTTAGTTGTCATTAATAGTTTTAAATAACGACTGTTACGTTATATAATGACCGTTATGTAACGATTTCGGAGCATCCTGCTATCGTTATTTTAGTATTATAGTAAGCTATGATCAGCGATAGCGACCGCGACCGTTTTTTCAACCGTCAGCAATTTAAAACTATCACTCACTCATTACAGCTTGATTGTTAAGTAGAGTATGGAGGCAAATATATATCAAAGTCACCTCTTCAGGGTAAATGTTTTCCCCACCACTCTTGATTCGGCCATTTTGTCGTCCAACGAGCCATACATTACCACAGTTATCTATGGAACCAATGTCACCTGTGTCCAGCCAAAAATCATCACTAGAGTCTGCTGCCTTCATTTGCTTCTGATCCCAATATCTAACCATTAGATGCAGGCCTCTAGTTAAAATTCTGCCGATATTAGAGGGACCGTCTGCACTTATCATTAATTCAATATGTGGTGGAGGCTTGCCAACACATACACCTTGTGGTTGGTGAACTGAACTGGATTTTGTTTTATCCACGGTCTGCAGAGTCTGAGCAGGGGTTTGAAGTGTTGGATTATAAAGGGTCATGAAAGTTAGAGAAGAACATGTCTCTGTCATCCCTTCATAAAAAGGAAAAGAGCAAAAAAAACAAGAGTAAGTACACTAATAAATCTAGTAATGTAAGAAAACTAACTCATATTCCAAACTGATTTATACTTTCCAGAACAATTTAATATTGCAATCATTATCTGAATACAAAACGTACCATAAGATTATTTTAAAGCAGAAGACAGAACAAAGATAGACAAGTCACATACCGTATGCCGAAAGAAGCTTAGCTTTTGGGAACAATTTAGCAGCATCTTTCACAAGATCCGTTGACAGGCTCCCACCTCCATTTAATATCTTCTTCACACAGTGTCTCCCTTTCCAAGTTTCCTTCAGACTGACAAAATATTTTGACATATTAGCTGCACGGTGACAGTCAGGGAAAAAATGAAGAAAAATAATAAAGTGATTTTGGCAGAGCTTAGCAACAGATATAAATTATTGAAGTGTATGCTAACAAAGTGCAGGGAGAATGTTGAAGTCATATGGTGCATGTTGTATAAAATGTAATCTGAGTTCCACGGAATAAGAAGTACTGCATAAAAATTGCTTCATCCAAGCACAGATTGGATGCGAATTCTTAATTATCTGTTACTGGTTGGACTGCAATCTTACCTGGTTAAGGAAATCAAATCAGCCATCATTGTAGGGACAGTGATTAGAGAAGTAACACGATGTTGCTCAATAGCTTCTACTACTACTGTAGCAGAAAACTTCGGTATCAAGACATGGCAACCTCCAACCATTAGCATGGTTATGGCTGATGACAATCCACCAATATGGCACAATGGAGCAGTGTGCAAATAAACCTGCAGAAGTCCACTGAATAAGGAATCCAGCCAACATTCCTTGATATGCTGTACGTACCCACACAACTATTCTCCACATTAAAGAAATTCTATAGAATATCCTCAATGCTATGCAATGCATTATCCTTATCCCTTTCAATGGCTATAATCTTCCAATTAAAAGTTCAAATTTGTAGGAAAAAGTTATATGGAGCTGCATACATCATCGTCGTTGTAACCAACAATGGCAACTTTTGCTAGGGATTGTACTATCAAAGCTGAATGGCTTAGGATAACTCCCTTGGGCCTTCCAGTAGTTCCTAAAGACATGAAACAGTGCAACAACAATAATAATTAGATTGGTCGATCCAGCCAGTTCTGATAACTTAAATCATATTTAAGATTCTCATAACTTTGTAGCCCTGCTGCTGAAGTGATTCTGTAAGCAAAACATGCCCGTAGATGAGCTAATTTAAGGGGAAAACGACAAAGCATTTTGTGGAAGCTATTTCAGTAGGAATCTTCAACAAGGAAACATATCCTAAAGGACACTCAAAACTTCCAACCAACAGTGGCTAAGTTTAAATAAAAACAGAAAATTTTGAAGTAGTCCTTCTAAAGGGTTTTTGATTGGAGACTGCCAGTTCCTAGCCTATCATGTAGCAAGGATTTTTCATTCCCATTTTGATACTGATTTTGACATCGATTGCTTATGCAGGTTGAAAAAACTAACAGGAGCAATAGAACCTGTAAGAATTGTATGAAGGCATCTCAAACTGCAGGGAATCTCATTTCTGTCAGTTTAGCTGCTCATAGCTCAATGGCAGAAGTTTTTTTTTCTGTGGTGTCATGAAAAATGCTCAATAAAATGGAATCTAACAAATGAAAGTATCCGCTCAATCGAATCCCTGTACAACATATTGGGATGGCTAAAGGAGGCAGGGAAACCTTCCTATAGTCGGAGTATGGTCGCTATACTTAGATTCAGAATGCATTTATTCTTTATAACATGAACATGCACCGACAAGACCATTTAAATTTGGTGAAAATATAATATTCCACTGAACACGAAATTCAAAATGGAAAAAGGACTTATACCTGAAGTGAAGCATACTATAACAGCACCTTCAGGTGCCCAGGAGTATTTAAGTTGTTTAGATCCTCCGGCATGTTTGCTAAGTGTTTCAGTAGTTAACACTGTCAAAATGAAGCAGCAATAGCAGCACTATGTGAACCAGAAAATCAAGAAGAGTGTAACCAGAGTAAGAGATGTGACATAAGCTACGTACCATTTGATGTTTTTATAAAGTCAGAGGAAGGGGAACCCAAGAAAACATGCCACTTGACAGAAGGTATAGCATTAATCTGAAGCTCTGAATACCAGTGTTTACAGCTCTCATCAGTGACCAACATCACTGGCCTTACCATTAACATTGCCGATTTTGCTTCTCCGAAGCTCTGCAAGTTGACATCCTTAAACTTCAATCAAACTCTTTAAGAGTTGTAACTTGTTCCATAGCATGACAATCATTACATTAATTCTTGATTGCTTTGGTTAATCTTATTGGAAATAAAGATGCCACAGGCAAAACCAAGATACAGAATTACGCAATAGACGGCTGATCAGATGTAGCACACGACATACAGGCAAGGTGATCTACTAACCCATCGGTAATTCAAAGGAGCAACTATGCCTCCAACAAATGCAACTGCAAGTAACCACTCCAAATACCAATCACTGAAACAAATACATTCATCAGCTCATAATCTGTAAAATCACAAATGCAGGTCGGTAGTTAAGAGAAATCCACTTAGTTTGCACAATGAACTAACAAGGATAATCGTCCGTTAAGACCGAACAGCTGAACAAAGAAACAAGTAAACGTCCATCTAGGTTGTCATTGGTTTTTTACTTTTTGTTCACATTGATGAATAACAATTACCTTGAAAGAAAACGGCAGAAAGTGAAAGGGATATAGTAGTTTCAAAAAACAACAAATTGGTCAGCTAAATAATTGTTAATGTTTTCAAAATCATATATATTTCTTAAAAGTTATATTTTTTTTAATATTACTAACTCAATCATAAAAGTCTTCCTTGACTTCATATCAAATTAAATCATACTTATTTGTTTATGCTTTCTCTTAACAAACTAGTTTTGACAATGCCACCAATATTTTATATATATATATATATATATATATATATATATATATATATATCTGATAAATACCCTTTTGAAAAACAACATTAATTCTAAGTTTAACAAATTAATCTATGCTTAAATCATTTTTGACAAATCCTAAAAACATAATCACAAAACCAATAATGTTCACTCAAGAAATCAAACTAAAACAAGAACCCAATTCCCATTAATTCCACTCTCAATTTCCAAGCAAACCAAACGAGAACCTTTACAGCAACATTTTCCAGTACCAACTTCCAAAACATCCTTAAAATAGATGGAAACAAAATCATGTTAAGAATAACACAAAAACAAGAACTACTCTCTAACAAAACTGTTTTTTGCTTAAAGAATTTAGGGATGTAAAGAGTCACGGTCATACGAACCCGTTGAAACCACAGATGGCTACAATTTCACCATTGCCAAGACCAAGTTGAAGCAGCCCACGAGCCAAAGACAGAACATCTTCAGCAAACTGGTGTCCTGTTTTTTGCCTGTTACCAGTAATGGTAACAACAGAAGTTGAGCGGAGAGTTGATAGTCTTGTTAGGCACTGGCAAATGTGGCCTTGAGAGTAATTAGCCATCTGCGTTAAGGGCAAATTGGGAATGTGAAAAAAGAAATCTCCATGCCTTTCTCTGAATGGAATGCTTGACGGTTGACAGAAAGCGCGGTTAAGATGACCTTATCAGTTGGTATTAGGGTAAGGATAACGTACATAATCTGTGATGTTAGTTGGGTCACAGCAAGAAGGGATTGGTGGATGAGGCCACGTGGTTTTTGGGTTCCTATAATGGATGGTGGATTTTGTCTTTGTTTTTGGGTATGTGGTTCTTTGGGCTAATGGGAGCCCATGTAATTTAAGGACTAAATTATAAAAAAGTCACTCTGTTTTCTAGGAAACAAATTAATTAACTTTTTTTATTTCAACAATTATTTTTTTGTTCTTTTTTTGATATATATATATATATATATATATAAAATAAATAAAAATTATGAAAAAATAGATGAAAGAAGAAGATATTTTTTAAAAAATTATTAATATGCAATTAAGCGTGATGAACACTGATTAGAATAATAAATAATTAATTCTTAAAATATTAAAAATAATTAATTTATTTTTCAAAATTAGAAGGAATATTTTTTAATTTACTCATATTTAGGCTTTATAACTCTTTTTTTTTTTTAAATTCATTATAATAAAATTTTTACAATATTGTAGTTTTGCTTCTTTTTTTTTTAGGAGTAATTTTTCAAATTTCTTGTTACATTATATTTAAATAGCACCATTATTTAAATTAGCCATGGAGGGATATGTGTGTTTTTGTCCAATAAGATGGGAGAGGTAATAAATGATTGTGGCTATTAATATGAAATATAAAATGTAAATAAAAGTAACATAGATGATGTTAGTCCTCTGAATAGATTTTTTTGGATAAATTTTTCGATCATTGTGATGTTTGATCAATTTGATATGCTATTTTTGTATAAATTCATATTATTACACCAAAATATTACACGAAATTTTTTTAAAATTATATTTGGGTAAAATACGATTAATATTGACTACTCTTTCTCTATGTAAAAAAAGTTGTCATATTTGATTTTTTTTTTTATGCATATTAAGAATGTCATTATTTTTTACCTATTCATGCATTTTAAAAATATCTCCTTTTAAATTTTAGGTATTTTATGAATGAGTTTTAATTAGTAGAATTATAGTAAAATACACGACTTATATACTTTGACCAAATAATTATTTTGAAATAAAAAAAAATAGAAAGCACCACAATCTCCTTAAGATAGAGAAAATATCATATGGGATGAGTGATTTTCATATATAGGAAAAAGTAATCTAATGCATTAGAATTTTTAAGAAATTAATTCACAAATCACAAGGTATTTTTAGATTATTCTAATTGTTATCTACATAATTAGAAAATACCATATTTTTCAAACATATCTTCCTAATTAATAACGTCACATACACCTACGAGTAGAATGAAATTTTCTCTTAGATTCCCCAAGAATTAAGCACAAAGGAAATGCAATAATTAACAGCAATAAGTGACCACCTAAAATTCTGCTTGGTTGCCTTAATCCATTCATAGAAAAATATCTTGTTTGATTGCTTGCTTGACCGGCAAGGGCTTACCCGAAAATCACTAGGTTTAATTATTGGTATTAATTAAAAGCTAATCGGTTATAAAATATATTTAACTTTTTATCTAAAAAAAAACGTTTATAACCTTTTTTTTTTATTCTAATTTGAGTGTCTATTAATCTTTTTTATCCGTAATTAAATACTTTTATCCCGTTAAGCATTAAAATAACAACACGTGTTTTATGTTTTTGAGACTTTTATAACACAATTTTATTTTCATAGCTCACGTGTTTGATAGTATTTTTTCAAGATGAGTGCCATTATTTTTAAATTAATCAATGGTCAAAATACTTAATTACATACTAAAAAAAAATTTGGAATCCAAATTAAATCAACAAAAATTCATGGTATTTTATATCTAATTAGCCTTAATTAAATATCTTTATATAAATATTTCGGACAAGCAAGAATTGTGTAAAGATTAGAAGAACATTGCAATCTTTGCCATTAATTGTAGATTTATATAACTTCCTTTTTTCAGTATTTTTTTCCCCATTATAAATATACCAAAAGTCTAGACGATCAATCCAGCTTTGTTTTCCTTCTGTATTATTGTCTTCGTTGCCTTTGGTTAGTTTATTTTCATCTCCTTCCTTTGCTCTTATTATGTTTCTTCTTCTTCTTTTTTTTTTTCTTTTCTTTTAGTTTATTACGTTTAAGAAAAAAAAACTTTATTTTATATAGTTTGTCTCTAGAGATCAAACTTATGAAGATGATAATGAGTCTGCAAACGCTAAACTAGTGTCCTTGATGATTTGATGAACATGCAGTATAGCTGATTTGTTTCTGTCTGCTATTTTGCATGGCAAAGTTTGCGTTTTTTCAATGGTTAATCTCTAAATATTTTCATTTTTCTTTCAAGTTCAAAGTTACATGGGAGAAAATTTCAGCTTTGAATTCCCTTGTTACGTCAAAACTTCTTATCTATATTCCACAAGGAGGATTTTCTCTCTTCTTTCTTTTCATGATGTGTTTGTTTCTTGCTGATTAAGTTTCTTTGCCCTATTCTTGTTGTTATTTTGGGAGTTTTCTTTCTTTAAACAAAAAGGATTTTCTTTCTGCATGTCTTTTCAGAATAAACCATTATTGGTGTTCTGCTTGCACTTCAACTTAACAAAACACATGAGAAGTAGAATAATGTTGTAGGTTTCCAAACATTTTTAAGTCTTGTAGAATGATGTGGTTAATTTCTCAATATCCATATCCTTGTATATTTGAGAGTTCTTGCTGGGTTTTTTAATTGTATACCTGCTGTAGTTACACTTGGTTTCTGTTTCAGTTGAATTTTTTCTCAAGGAACTATGGCTTGTGTCCAAAGCATCTGTGAACGTTTGGATGAGCACATCAAGGCTCATTGCGATGAAGTTCTTTCCTTGCTGACAAGGTAAGCATTCATGCTCTTCAAGGTTTTTGGCCATGCAAAAATTAGATGTATAATATAATGTTTTGCACTATTTGTGTTGTAGGATTGAAAGTAAGGGAAAAGTAATTCTTCAACGAAGCCAGATTATTGCTGAGTTTGAAGCATTGTTTGATGAAGTCACCGGGGAGGAATTAGCTGGTGGTGCATTTGCTGAAGTTATTAGAGCCACACAGGTGACTTTGGTCTTTCTTGAATTGTTAACTTTTTATGCTTTATGATATTAAAAGTTGAGAATTTTGTCATTGTTTTCGTTGATTTTGTACTTTCAGGAAGCCATTGTTTTGTCTCCATGGATTGCTCTTGCTGTGCGCTCGCAACCTGGTGTCTGGGACTACGTTAGAGTGAATGCCCACACACTTGTTGTTGAGGAGTTGCCTGTTGCTGAGTATCTTCTCTTCAAGGAGGAACTTGTTGATGGAGGGTAAGTCGATCAAAAATGTTGATTTGATTCGTTTTCGCAATTTCAGATCCTTTGCTTCGTGTTTTTCAAGGTTCTTTTTCTTATCAATGTTGTTTGATCTGATCTAATACAGCTGCAATGGAGATTTTGTGTTTGAATTGGACTTCGAACCATTCAATGCATCTTTCCCTCGCCCAACTCTTCAAAAGTACATTGGCAATGGCATGGACTTCCTCAACCGCCAACTTTCGGCCAAGTTGTTCAATGACAAGGAAAGCCTACAGCTTCTGTTCGATTTTCTGGAAGTGCATTGTCACAAGGAGAAGGTATATATTCTTACACAGATCCAATTTCAACCATTTATAATATTGTAATCTGTAAGAATCATCTTGTTTAGAATCGGTAATTTAACTAAGGATTGCATGCTTTAGACTTAGATCTTTAAAACTTGCTGACATGTGATCATATATTCTCGTGCAGAATATGATGCTGAATTCCAGAATCCAGAACCTAGACTCTCTGCAACATGTTCTGAGAAAGGCTGCAGAATATCTGTCTGCATTAAATCCTGAGACTCCATATTCTCAATTTGAACACAAGTTCCAGGAGATTGGTTTGGAGAGAGGATGGGGTGATACCGCTGAGCATGTGCTTGAGATGATTTAACTTCTTTTGGATCTTCTTGAGGCACCAGAGCCTTGCGCTCTCGAAACATTCCTTGGTAGATTTCCTATGGTCTTCAATGTTGTGATTATGTCTCCTCACGGATACTTTGCCCAAGACAATGTTTTGGGATATCCTGACACTGGAGGCCAGGTTAATTCACAAGCCTAGCTAGTCTCCTCTTTTTTCTCTGTGCACTTTCTGTTGAAACCTTATGTGATGTTGTTTGCATTTCTTTCTGCTAGGTTGTTTACATCTTGGATCAAGTTCGTGCCTTAGAGACAGAAATGCTTCAGCGCATCAAGAGCAAGGCCTTGATATCACTCCCCGAATTCTCATTGTCAGTTTATTTTTCAAGCATTATAGGGACTCATTATGTAAGTTAGCATTGGTGCTTAATCTGCTCTTGTTCTTGTCTGCAGATTACTCGACTTCTCCCTGATGCTGCCGGAACCACTTGCGGCCAACGTCTTGAGAGAGTATACGGATCAGAGCATTGCGATATTCTTCGAGTTCCGTTCAGAGACGAAAAGGGGATGGTCCGCAAATGGATCTCTCGCTTTGAAGTTTGGCCATACCTAGAGACTTACAGTGAGGTCAAACATTTGATAGAACAAATAGCATTTCCTCATTATTTCCCCGAAGTAATCCATTTTTTCCAAGTCCTGTGTTTAAGATAATATGCTTGTTTTTTTCAGGATGTTGCTGCTGAAATTGCCAAGGAAATGCAGGGCAAGCCTGATCTGATTGTTGGGAACTACAGTGATGGCAACATTGTTGCTTCCTTGTTAGCACACAAATTGGGTGTTACCCAAGTATGTGTGACCTTATCTAATAGTGATTTGCTCCATTTGTTTTTTCTAGCTACAGCACAAGAATTCTCTTGTTTTTGCAATCTTTGCAGTGTACCATTGCACATGCTCTAGAGAAAACGAAGTATCCAGAATCAGAGCTTTACTGGAAGAAGTTTGATGAGAAGTACCACTTTTCCTGCCAATTTACAGCTGATCTCATAGCCATGAACCAGACAAATTTCATCATCACTAGCACATTCCAAGAGATTGCTGGAAGGTGATTTTCTGTCTCCTATATTTCTTATTCCTGTAAAATGCTTCTTCCCTTGCATCTAACATGTATTGTTCCATAACTTCAGCAAGGACACCGTTGGACAATATGAGAGCCACACTGCTTTCACTCTTCCTGGCCTTTACAGAGTTGTTAACGGTATTGATGTCTTCGATCCCAAGTTCAACATTGTCTCCCCTGGTGCTGATGAGAACATATACTTCCCCTACACTGAGGTAGAATGAAGGTTGCCTTCTTTCCATCCTGAAATCGAGGAACTTCTCTACAGCCCGGTTGAGAACGAAGAGCACTTGTGAGTTATCTCTCTTTTGCCTCCAATTAAATTTCTGATATGGTTCTTGGAAAATTTATGGGATTAAAAAAATGAGCAACTCATTTCTGACTTCCTGTTATCCAACAGATGTGTGCTAAATGATCGCAGCAAGCCAATTCTGTTCACAATGGCAAGGCTGGACAGAGTTAAGAATTTAACTGGTCTAGTTGAATGGTTCGGAAAGAATACCAAGCTGCGCTAATTAGTTAACCTTGTTGTAGTTGGTGGTGACAGAAGAAAGGAGTCCAAAGATTTGGAAGAGCAAGCTGAGATGAAGAAAATGCAGTCATATAGAGGAATACAATTTGAATGGCCAGTTCAGATGGATTTCTTCCCAGATGAACCGTGTCAGGAACGGAGAGCTCTACCGTTACGTTTGCGACACCAAGGGGGCTTTTGTCCAGCCTGCTGTTTATGAGGCTTTTGGATTGACTGTTGTTGAGGCCATGTCTTGTGGTTTGCCAACCTTTGCTACTTTTAATGGTGGTCCTGCTGAAATAATTGTTCATGGTAAATATGGATTCCAAATCGATCCTTACAATGGCGAGCAGGCTACAGAACTCCTTGTTAACTTCTTTGAGAAGTGTAAGGTTGACCCTACCTACTGGAACAAAATCTCCCAAGGAGGCCTACAACGTATCCAAGAGAAGTAATTAGGCTCATTTGCCTTTTCTAACTAATGTTGTTGCTGTTCTTCCAAGCTGTTACAATAAAGTTTGCTAAACTATCTTCCATTCTTTGCTTTTTTTCATCAGGTATACCTGGCAAATCTACTCTCAAAAACTGCTGACCCTCACAGGAGTTTATGGCTTCTGGAAGCATCTTTCCAACCTTGATCGCCGTGAGAGCCGTCGCTATCGTGAAATGTTCTATGCACTCCAATATCGTAAAGCTGTAAGCATTCTTCTCCTATTTTTTTGGTGTGCAAGTATTCATTTTCATCATCCATTCTTTCAGATATTTATCCAAGTATACTCATGAATCTTCTATTATCACCTTTCAGGCTGCGTCTGTTCCTTTGACTATTGAGTAAATGGAATAAAAGAAATCAAGGAAACACGAGTCAGTTCGAATTGGGAGTTCTTGATCCTGAAGAAGTCAAGGCTTTGATTTTCTTTTTGTTCTGTTTTTTTGTTCTGCAACACTGTTTGCAATTGCAACTTTGGGTGTCATCCCCCTTAAATTTCATTAAAGATTGTGTCTTTTGGATTTTATCCATAATCTATTTTCTATACCATTTATTGCAAATTTTCATAGTATTTGTAGTTTTATACATTCTCAAGTCTCTGTAGAACTATGAAATCATGATCTATTATTTGTAGTTTAAACATTACAAAAAGATTGATTTGAGAAACTAACCCTATGATTAGGCAAAACTGGATCAATCATGCCATGAAAGATTGGAAGCTGATATAAATGTAACACGTTACTCAAGTTTGTGCAATTGAGATTATTCAAAGATAAATATTCTGATGGAAGATCCTGTAAATTCCAAGTGCTACGGGTTGCAACAAGTCCTGTGCTGTTTTATTTGTTTGTTTCTGGATAAATTTTATAACAGACAAATCTTCTGAAGTTGTTGATTAATGAATATTTGATTAAAAAACATCCTAATAGGTTCTCTGGTAAATTCCACACATTTCTTGTTTCTTGAGTTTGTAAAAAAATTGTTATTTGAATTCATGGATTTTGTTGTCTTTTCTTTCCTTTTCCTTCGAAGTTCTTCGAAATTTTTTGGTTTCTGCCATCTACAACCAAGCCTGCTTAGAACATCCCTGAAAACAATACATATTGCCAGGCTACAGTCAGGAAATCAGTAGGTAAAAGCCTAATATCAGCAACGAAAGACAAAAGATCAGTTTAAGAATCTTGACATAATCCATCTTAGAGAAGAGATCAGCAGCTTTCGTGAAGAGGACTATCTTCCACATAAGCATCAGACTGGGGAGATCTTGCAAAATGTAACATGGTCGAAGCAAACTAATCGATACGCATCTGCAGAACATGGATATACTGCAGAAATAGAAAAGCCAAACTTTCCTGACAAAAATCTAGGAGACAGAATACTTCTAACACTTAATCAACCTAAAGGACCCTGAGCGTCTGTGATCGCTGGATCAAAACGACTAAACAAAGATGACACAGAACATGAAGAACAGTCATGATGCTGACAACAACATTGGAATGCATGCATGTTTCAAGCAACCTTCACAAGCTTACAGCTGTGTTTTTCTTTGGTTTTCATTAAATACGGAAAACCATCGAAGTAGGTAACTAGGCATCGACTAATCTGCAAAGATCACACAACTAGAAAAATAAGGATCAGAATTGCATTTCTAATCATCTCAAGCCAATTGGTGGGGGTGGCGAATTAGGTATTTTGGGAGGGATACCCCTATCATGTAGCCCTAGGATCTATCATGACCTCCCTTCGAACTAAGACCAATATCAGAAACAAAAAAGAACATCAAGAATCCTGCCATAATCCATCTTAAGAATAGACCAGCAGCTTTTCATGGAGAGGGCTATCTTCCAAATAAGAATCAAAAACTTATGAAGATCTTGCAAAACATAGGATGGTAGGAGCAAAATACTTGAGAAGAATCTGCAGAACATGCATGGATATACTGCAGAAATAGGAAGACCAAACTTTCCTGACAAAGAATTCCTGGAGAAAGACTACTACTCTCAATCAACCAAAAGGACACTGGTCCTGATTTGTCCTAATCTTGAGTGTCAAGAAAAAACACCCACAAGGATGCCAAAAATGCATTCCTCACAAGGCACAATTTTAGCTAAAGGAATCACAGCAAGACCATAAAAATCAACAAGACAGAAACGCCAGTAAATTATTAAGCATTGTCGTCCACAAATCCTGCAAAGCACACTACAGGATAAACAAGCTTATAAGTTCAACAAGCATGTTCTACACACACATTAATCTGTGACAAACCCTTGAAAGATATGCTTAATTATCTAATTAAGCATCATCTAAGTGACCTCAGGTCCAACAAAAAATCTCCCTCAAATACCAGCTCTAAATCCTTGAAGAGGGTGACAAACTGCACTGTTTCTCTTACAAAATGCACAACGATCTTTGGTAGAACCTTCTACCAGCAAAGAACAGGCAGTGATTTCGCCTTCGGAAAGCCAGCAACCAGGTGCTCCATAAGGACCATACCATAATTCAGCAAAGAAAGGTTTCGGCGATTGATCTTCATCATCCATGGCAGCACTTTTAAGCTTAGCCTTAAAGTTGCAATGCTCCCAGAGAGCATTTTCAGTGAAAAAAGAGTCACCACTAACAACCTCCACAAGCTCAAATTCAACACCCTAATAAACAACTAATTACTAGTAATTAAATCACAATTATTTAAAAGGGAAAAATTCAAGAAAAAAAAATTTATGATTGATAAAAACAAACCTGATGATTGTTGTTGTAGAAATTTACAGCCTTCTCTGCAGTCTTCACAAACCAATCCATTCCAATACCAACCTTGACTCTGGTTGGTGTAACATAGTCCCTGGTAAAAGTAGTATTACTATTATAGTACATATAAGCATAATCCCCATGCGTTATCGCTGATGATAAGTTTATATAATATGTTTTAATATCTTAAATAATTTTAAAATTCTAGATGTAAATTAAAATTTAATTGTGAGAATTTGTTTAATTCAATATGTATTATGTAATATTTAATAAAATATTTATATTCTATAATTAAGGTTAAATATATTCTATAAATATGTTTGATTTTGATCAATAAAAAAATGCAATTAATTATTTAATTTAAAAAAATGAATAAGAAGAGAATACTAAATCAATTTATATTAAAAAATTATTTAATTTTAATTAATGAATCTATGAAAAAATTTCAAAATAACCATTAAAGATTAAGAAAAAAGCACAGCCCAGCCTAAGAAAAGAAATATAGGAACTTTATTGTAACACGAATTAAGTTTAGAGACCGTTTTGTATAAAATTATAACAAAAGCATAAGAAAGAAGGGAAAAAGAGAGGCCCATTCAAATGTGCCTAAGACAATCGAGCCCATGCGTCTAGACTGGAAGCACGGTCCAGCCATAAATTAAAAAAAAAAAAAAAAAAACACACCCAACCCATATTATGTAACATAAATTAACTTTAGGAATCGTTTTGTACAAATGTAAAATACAAAGGACCAAAGTGTAAAAAATTGCATATATGTCTTTTTTTTTTTTTTTTTGGTGCAAAACCATGTTTTTTCAACTTAAAGACATAAAATAATGTTTTTTTTTTTTTATCTATTACAGAAGAAGCTTAGCTACAATAAAACCATATTCTCTATAATAATTTAATTAGAATTATATATATATATATAAAATGATGACCATTTACGTATATAAGCATTAACCTTTTTTTTTAAGGTTAATAGCTCAATCTATCTTTATATGATAAATAATTTTCTAATTTGTCTTTATAATTTTAATTGAATCAATTTTATATTTAAATATATATTAAGTTTTTAATCTATATTTTTTGCAAGATTTTCAAGGAAACCATGAAAATTAGTCACGTGATTTATTAACTATTTTCTATTTTTAAAATGCATTTACAAGCGAGACAAATGTAAGACATTCAATGTACAAATCACAGTTAATAATTTCGATGATTTAGCTCAAAAATCTTGCTAAAAGAATAAACTAAAAACAAAACATATATTAAAAGATAAAATTTATTTAATTTGAGATATAAAAATATATTGAAAAATCACTTCATGTATTCAAAGATAAATTTAGTAATCAACCTTTTTTTTTATATAGGAAACGGCATTGGTTGCTTATGTACTGTGCAAAAACTTAACGTACACGTGCAAGGTAATGGTGGTTAACATTTTGTTACACTACATGGTATCAAACATATTATTAATGTTGTAACAAGGTTTGATCGACATTTGACATTATAAAAAAAAAAAAAAATTAAAAGAGTTGAGATTGTTTACTATTCATGATATTATTTATTGATTTACATGTAATATTTACTCAAATTTATATGCACAATTTATTTTTACGATCCAAGTAATATTTTTGTAATTTTTGGATGTTCGTATCTGAATTTTACATTATGTTCTATTTTGGTTTCGATTGTTTTCCAAAAATATTTTTATGCTTTTTTTTAGTAATTCATTTTAATATCGTATAACAATTTTACATTATATGCTATTTTGGTCCCTAATGTTTCTCAAATATACATATACTTTTTTTTCTTTTCAGCAATTTTTTTTTTATTATTAAATTGGGTGCAAAAATTATAAAAAGTCAATAGTTATTTTTTCAATTTTTCTCATAGACTAACTATTATAAAATATATATACGATATGTTTTTAAATTTTAAAATGAACATATATATTAGATTATAGTAATCATATTGTTTAAAATTAATCTCTCAAATTTGTCGTTTTTCTTATCAAATTAATTTTTTATTCTTCTTTTTTTTATGTAATTTTATTTATTGATAAATATGATTTATTTTCTATATGTATGAATTTTCAAACAAGTTTTTTTATATATAAAAATAAACAATCAATTGAAAAATAGAATTCATTTTTTTATTTGTTTATTCTTTATATAATCAAAATTTATTGGAATTAATTTTATAGCTATTTTTATTAGTCTATTCACTTCAATATATTTTTTATAATTTAAGTTTTTTAAAAATATTTTTTGATTTATGTTGCATATTTTAAACCACTCGAATATGATCATGATGTATAAAAAAATAAAATAAAATTGGGTCATTAGTTTTATTAGAAATTAATTATGTATCTACGGATACAACACCAACCATTTACTATATATCAATTTTTTTTAATATTCTAAAATTAATTTTTTTCAAATAAAATAATTAAAATAATGTTTTAGAATAACCACCTAATAATTCAAATACATAGTTTGAAAAAAATAATTAAAATAACTAATTTTTTACTTTAATATTGCTGATTATTTTGTATGTATATATATGTGTGTGTGTGTGTGTTTTCAAAAAATTAATATTCTCATCAGCTGTAAAAAAAAAAAGGTTCGTTTCTTAATTTTTATATTAATTGATATTTTATTTCTTCAATGAAATCTTACAAAAAAATATTAAGATGCTTTTTAAATTTTAAATTTAGATTATTAAAAGTTTTATTTAAGAATAAATGCATAATAAAGAATAAATTATGTTTTTTTAATTACAAAATTTATGAAAAAACATAAAAAAGAATAAATTAAATTTTAATTAAAAATTATATATTTAATTTTATATATTTTAGTTGCCCAATTATATAATAAAAGTTATCAAAATAAAATAAAGTTATTTTATTCAGCTCACGGCGTTGCACGAAAAGTTTACTAGTGCATAAAAAATTAAGAAAACAAGGAAGAAAAAAAAAAAAAAAAAAGTGAACCGCATACCTAGGTGGAGGCAAAGGAGGCAGCTGGGCACTAGGGTAATTCTTTGACCCCTGGTTGGAATCTGTCATCTCTTGGTCCATCCTGCTTGCTGGCTCCAATATTGCACAAAGACACAGAAACAGAAGAAATATGCAGACAGAAGTGATTGAGGTCTCAAGTGTTTGTCTCTATATTTATAGGGAGAGACATCAAAAACTAATATCCAAAACCAAATCTAGATTAATGGCAAATCTCTTTCTTAGGAAAATAAACCTAAGAAAAAAATAATAATAATGGCATGTTCAGACAGTCCGAATTAGGATTCACGATGGTTTAATTTCTTTTCCGACGTGTGCATGGAAACCATTTAAGTAATTACTAATATATTAAAAAAATGTTAATTACAATCATTATTAAGTAAGTAAATTAAGCCTTTAAAGAAAAAAAAATGGTTCTATTAAACTACTAAATAAAAATGTATAATGAGTAGGGTTTTTTTTTTTTTTTTTTAAGTGGTGGAACCGATTTTACACATCGAAATGATTAGTGTTTTTTTAAGCGATGAGATCGATTTTACACACCGGAATTAAATTTATTTCTGTTCATATGCTAGATTGTTGTATTCCTGGAGATTTCTTTTTTATAGCATTAGAATTTCAATCTTTGTTCATAATATAGAAAGTAAATCCTCTTTAATTAACAACTTTATTTTTTATTTTTATTTTTTTGAATTTCACTTTATAGTACTAGGGCGAATCTCCAACGGTGGAATGGAGAAATTTTAAGAGTAACTATCAATACTTATATATATATATATATATATATATATATATGAATGAAGAGAAAAGAAAAATAAAATAAAGGAAAGTAAAAACAATATGTGTATATTTAGAAATATTTTTATCGTTTTTGATAAGTATGAATGTAATTTTCTCTCTTTTTTATATTTGTTTGTGATGTAAGTATTATCAGTTTTTCTTTAAGTATTTTAAAATTTCTTCAATGGAATGAATAAGTACCATCTGTGGTGTTTCTTTTTCTTTCCAAAAGCTTATGTAACAACAAATACTAACAACTAAATGAAAGAAATACGGTAATAAAAAAATATTAAATTTTAGAAAATGAAAAAAATTGTACCACTACTTACCCCATAAGAAAAAGATAGATACGAATAAAAAATATTTTTTTCAAAAATTTAAGCCTAGATAAAAATAAACTTATTGCTTTTGGTGGATTCGAATATATATATATATATATATATATGTGTGTGTGTGTGTGTCTTTTTAAAGTAGATTTACAAAGTAAGTATCGACAATAACTTTTTAAGTATTTTAAGTTTTTTTGGGTGGAATGAATAAGTGCTATTTGTGTTTTTTTTTTTTAAGCATATGTGTAATGTCAAAAATATTAAAAACTAAATGAAAGAAATATGGTAAAAAAAAAATATTAAAACTTAGGAAATGAGAAAGTTGTACCTCAAGTCATCATAAACCTTATAGTAATTAGCAAACATAAAACTAAAATTAATTTTTTAAGATGAAAAATGAAAAAAAATTAGACAAAATTAGCAACTTAATCTAATTACTAATCCCTCAAAAAACTAAACTAGGATTAAAAGGAAAAATATTTTTAGAGCCATTTTGATCCAATAATTTTTGGACTCTACAAACTACACAAAGGCTCATTTCAGCCCACCATCAATCTGAGCCAGCCCAGACACAGCATGACCGAAACACCAAACGACAACGTATCACAGTGTCATCGCCGCCTTCATTCGCCTACCACCAATCCAATGTTTTTGCAATAAAACCACAAAAGCATCATCGAACTTTGAAATTCTGTTGGTCTTCTTCATTCCCCAATTCTTGTTTCACCGCTTTAATAAAAAAGGTACAAGCTTTTTTGCTCTTTTTCTTGTTCTGTTTCTTTTTAACTCTGTTTGGTTGCTGAGAAAATTCAAGAAAAGATAGAAAAGGATGTGCTTTTAGGAAGAATCTTGGGCACCCATTATTACGACTCTTTTTACAAGACCCATCTCCCACTTATCTGATTTTTAGTTTCATATTAATTAAGGTGAAACTTAAGTGTGGTGGTATTAGGTAGGCAGCTAGCTAGTTTTTTTTTTTTTTTTTTTTTGTGGTCATATGTTTTGACTGTTTGGGTTGAAATTCAATTGGTGACATTTTGTAGCTTAAGATATGTAAAACTTATATTCTTGGTATTTCTGGTGACTTATTGGTTAGAGAAGGGCTGATATGCTGTGCTTTTACTTGGGTTTGGTTGGATTGGGATTATGGGAGAAGTAAAGATGTTTTCAAGAGCTTTTTCATCTTTGCAAGATGGGATTTTTATTGTTTTTTTGAACCTTTAGATTGAGTAATGGCAATGGCTCAATGAGCCTTGTTATTGTTCTAATATTGCTTTCTCATGTTTGCTTCATTGGAACGTAGCTGTTTATTCGCCAAGAATACATTTCACGTCTTGGAATGAAAAGTTTCCTTTCGTTTGGCTGTAATTATCTGGTTTACAAGATATACAGGCTATTGTGGGGACACATGTTTAGCAGTTGATTTCACTTGACATCTTTGTTCCCATGTAATTCTAACAGCTAAATTTACAGGTGATTTCCTTAATTGGTATTGAGATGTTGGCGTTTTCTGCAAGTACTATCAGCACCGTGCCTGTTGCAGTGCCAGGTTTGTGTTCCTCTAATTTAGTGCTAGGCAAATATAATGTAAATGTTCGTATTGACTTGATTTTCTGCAAGAATTGTGGACCAGAAACTAGTGAGCAGGTTTTGATGCTAAAAAATGTGTGAGTGCCAGAATTTAGAATAATCATGTTGGTATGAGGACAATACAGTGAATTTAGATCTACCAATGATGTTCAGTTACGGAGCACTTTTACAGTTTTGAGTTGTTTGTTGAATTGTAAAGCTTAAACATACCAGATGAATCAACAAACTGTAATAGCAACAATCCCCATTCCCTCCTCCAACCTTAGTATGGCTTGGTTACCCTGTTCCTTTTTAATAATCAGCTTAAAGCTTTATCCCATCTAGAATTATATACCTAGGGAAGACCCCTGATGTTAAATAGTGTTATCAAGCTTTGTTTGAGCCATGTGTTAGGTTGTTAATGCTCAAGTGCGATGAATCCCATCTATCCCCCAAGACCCCTGAGGGTTCTCTTGAATGTTTCAGATCAAGCCTATCCCCGAAGACGCCTGACGGTTGTTTTTTTCACAAGCAGCTTCTGCTTTGTACATGATAATGAAAAATTAGTCCTTTGTAATTTAGGTTGCTAATTTACCAGATTGATTCTGTGTTGATTCTAAATGCTGCAGTTTGTAATATTTTGCATGCAGTGACGACAAGGGATCAATGCAAGAGCCAAATTAAACAAACAGGAAATGGTCCACTTGGGCTTGCCGCACAATTAAAGGCAATTGATAGAATAAAACCCTTCGTACATTCAAATAGAAAGCAATCTGCTTCTATTATATGTTCTGCTGCTATGGTAAGCCTATTGATGGATCTGTGTCTTTAAAAAAGTGTGCTATGTTTTGAATGTTGGAAGTTGTAATTTCTTTTTTCTGAGTTCAAATGAATGAGCTCTTGCTTTTTATTAATAGTCACGTGAAGTAATGCAATTGGTAAGAGATATAGCCTTTTCCATAAGTCGTTTTTCTGTCTTATACTACCCCCTTTACACAAAGATGACGAGGCAAAGCCATGCTCTAATAGCTTTCTAAAGCAAGAAGCCTGTAATTTTGTTGTTGCCCTGGGAGTAGTAAGAATTGAAACTTTGCTGTTGGAACTTGGGATTTTTGTGGCTGTCTGAATTTCTTGTTGCTTTAGTTTGCGTGAGATTTGCAAGTTTGCACAAGGAGAAAGGATATTGCAAGTTAAACCATGCAAAACACTTGGCCTAGAAATTCTCAGTTGACCTATTCCTTTTCAAGTTTGTTTAGGTGATTGGTTTAGAAGAATGACTAATCTACTAATTGCATGGGTTTGTGTATTGTAATAAACAAGTGGAAATGTGGATCTTAGAAAAACCATGGGATTACAAGCAATACATAGGCATGCATGCAGAATATTCACTTTTTTAAGTATTTTTTGACTAAGAATTTAAGAAATGGGGGAGTTTGAGGTTTGAACTGACTTCTTTCTCCTGCAGAATGCAAGATGCTCTGCTTCAGGGCAAACTCAAACTGTTCTCAAAGAGACACCTACAATTACCAAGGCTCCTGTACGAGGTAATCGCCGTTGCATATTCAACTGAATTGCCAAATTGCTTTGTGAGTGAGGTCACCTAACTGTTGGGACACAATTTCCTTGGGATGCCAAAAGGCACAGTGATAAACATGGATCAATTTTACATGCCCATCTGTATACAACTATCTTTGGATAATTTATTTTGTTGTTGCACATCCATAAGATGACTCATTTGGGTTCATTGAACTCCAGAACCAACCAAGACACCCCAACTCGATGACGGAGGACCTGGACTCCCACCCCGTGATGATGGTGATGGTGGTGGCGGTGGGGGTGGAGGAGGAGGAAACTGGTCTGGTGGATTCTTCTTCTTTGGCTTTCTTGCTTTTCTAGGCTTCTTAAAAGATAAAGAGAGCGAGGGAGACTACCGGGACAGCAGGAGAAGATGAAAGAAGAGGATTTGGAATCAATATATTTTTGAGGCACTTCAATACTTATTTCTTGTGCTGTGATTTTTTTGTCTAGCAGGCGAATAGCTATTAAGCATAAGCATGAGAGGAACTACTAGATTAACTTATGACTATATTGTTACTGACATCAAAGCAAGAATTTGTAATGCTATGTTGTATTACTTCTGTTTCTGTTTTCCGTTACCTTCATTCCATGAATCTGTTGTACTGATCATAATAAAAGGTTTCTGTTTATTCACCATTGCTGTCATTCCAAAATCTTGGACATGAAAAGTAAATACTCATGCACTTCACCTTCAAAGTACAGATGAGGCTGTGCAGGACTCAAAAACTGACTTCTTAGACTTGGTTCAATTCTCCAACTCCCCGAAAACAAGGCATCAAACTGAAAAAAAAAAGGGGGAAATAAGCATCAGATTAGAAAAAGGCAATTCTCTGAATAAAGAATGTTAAAGAAAATGTAAATTTCCAAATTGTTTGCTAGCCCAACAAACGCAGAGAGCCTTGATCATAAGGCTAGTGTAACCTGTTCTAAGTTCTGGCCGTGTGAAATGCCATTACCAAATACTCTTTCCTTGAATCCTCAACTAGTTAAAACGTAGCCCATGATAGCCTGTGAATTTCTAACCCATGAAGGCCACCAGAATATTAAGCCTTCCCTAACAAAACAAGGTGCCCTTCAAAGCAATTCACCTATACCTAATTGCTGGTAAATATCCACCAAAAACAAGAGAGAGAGAGAGAGAGAAGATAATTGCGCTGTAAATACACAAACTATAAACGTTTTTTCAATTGAATTATAAACTTTATTTATTTTTTGTTTGAATAAACTAATTTTCCAAAATTATCAATCAATTAATTTTCATTCAATTTTTATCGATTGTTCTACTATTTGATAATGTGTCTTTTGATACAAACTGCTAAATTATGATTTATGTTTTTTATATTTTGAGAGAATTTTTCTTCCTAAATTATTATGTTTTCATATTTTTGGATACTATCCAAAAAATAGAAAAGAGGAAAATAATTAGAGAGAAAGTTCCCTCTAAAATTATAATTTAGTAATTTGGAGTAAATAACGTCATTAGACAGTGACATAATTAACAAAAATTAGATGAAAATACTTGATTGATAGTTTTGAAAAAAAAATTATATACTCAATTGAGAAAACGTTAAAATTTAGTATAATTATAATGTAATTATATATATAAAAAAAGAGTTGCACACTGTGTGTAATGACCAATCAACCAAATCTCATATAATTTGAGTTCAGTCCAGAAAAGAAGCACGACAAGTCGTCAACGACAATTAAAAGCACAGCTCCTGCTTCGCGTAAGAAATAGAGAATAGCGAGTAGTGACCGTACTTAAACGACACGTCGTCCGCTGTACTTGTACTATCTTAAACCCCAGAAGGAAGAACAAAAAACCCACCACACTTCTTCTCCTCCAAAGAAGGCCCCTTCTCTCTCATTCAACGTGAGTTGTTCTTCTTCTTTTTGTAATAAGAAAGTTCTGAGCTTGAATTCTGTTTCATAATTAGAAATGAAAATCCTCCCTTTTACATGTCTAGTAATTCTTAATGGCTTTTCTATTATCAGGAAGGGAATACAGAATGGAATGAGAGTCAAAGAAGGAAGCTCATGAGAGGCTCAAGGTAAGCAAACATAAAGCCATGAGACTTCATGTTTTGTATGTTATTGGGTTTGCGCTTATCTCAGGTGTTTAGGAATGTGTGCTTGATACTGTTAAATACACACCAGTCAAATAACCCAAAACACCAGCGAAGATTGATACTTTAAAGCAAAAAAAACTGAACTTTTTATGTAAAAATGTGGTCATTTCCTCTCTTGAAGGTCTGCCCTTTAAAGGGTCTCTTTAAATGTTGCTATTAGTTTCTTGTGGTCCCAAGGATTTCCTATAAAGGATTTTTGCCATTGATTTTTTTCTGATCCAGGATGGCTAAGCATTTGTTAATGGTCAAGTGGGTTGTGATTATGACCATTTTTGTCCCTTGAAGCTCTATCTCTTAAAGGTTCTCTTTTATTGTGTTGTTAGTTCATGTCGTCTTTTATGGTTGAGCAAATTGTTAATGAACTAGTGGGCAGTTGATTTCATTTGAGATTTTCATGAATTACTAATTTATTGCATCTTTTGGTGACTCAGATTGGTGCCAAACTACAAAAGAAGGCATCTTTCCAAACTTTTCTCATTGTTTCAATTCCAGAGAAAATTACATTTGGCAGCCGTTACAGCTTCGCTGCAAGTTACATCAGATGATCTTGAAAATGAAAGTAAAGGGATCGATTTCAATGCTCTATTCAAATCCTGCACCAAGTTGCAGCAGGTTAAATGTGCTCATACACTTGTTTTGGTGTCAGGGAGATTTAAAGACGTCTTTCTTTCCTCAAAGCTTGTAAATTTGTATTCACAGTATGGTGATGTTTCGCTAGCTAGGTGCACTTTTCACCACCAACCAAATAAAGATGTTTATACCTGGAACTCTATGGCATTTGCTTATGTTAGCCATGGCCGTTTCCGTGAAACCTTAGATTGTTTCTACCAGTTCTTTTCAACCTCCGCTCTTCGCCCTGATTTCTACACTTTCCCTCCTGTGGTTAAAGCTTGTAGAGATCTGCTAGATGGGAAAAAGATACATTGTTTGATTTTAAAGTTGGGTTTTGAATGGGATGTGTTTGTGGCTGCTTCCTTGGTGCATATGTATTCACGGTTTGGGTTTTTGGAAGGTGCAAGAAAATTGTTTGATGATATGCCAGCCCGTGATAGAGGTTCATGGAATGCAATGATTTCTGGGTATTGTCAGAATGGGAATGCTGCAGAGGCATTGAATGTCACAGACAAGATGAGATTGGAAGGGGTGAAAATGGATGCTGTTACTGTTACCAGTATTCTTCCTGTTTGTGCACAACTGGGTGATATTTTAAGTGGCAAGTTGATTCATTTGTATGTTATAAAGCATGGATTGGAATTCGAATTGTTCGTGTCCAATGCTTTGATTAACATGTACGCCAAATTTGGTAGCTTGGGGCCTGTGGAGAAACTTTTCGATCAGATGGTGGTAAGAGATATTGTGTCATGGAACTCAATAATTGCTGCATATGAGCAAAATAACAATCCTGTTACTGCACTGTTATTCTTTGATAAGATGCAACAAGCTAGAGTTCAACCTGATTTGTTGACTCTAGTCAGTTTAGCTTCCATTGTTGCTCAGCTAAATGATCATCGAAACGGCAGGTCTGTTCACGGATTTGTCCTGAGGAAAGGTTGGTTTATGGAACATATTATCATTGGGAATGCTGTTGTGGATATGTATGCCAAAATTGGCGTTTTCGATTCTGCCCGTGCAGTTTTCGAAGGACTCCCTGGCAAAGATGTGGTTTCTTGGAATACTTTGATCTCTGCGTATGCTCAAAATGGCCTTGCAGGTGAGGCAATTGAAGTATATCACATGATGGAAGAACACAAAGAGATGATCCCAAATCAAGGGACTTGGGTGAGCATTCTACCAGCCTATACCCATCTTGGAGCCTTGCAGCAAGGGATGAGAATTCATGGGCGAGTTATTAAAAATTGTCTCTGCTCAAATGTCTTTGTTGGCACATGCCTCATCGACATGTACGGAAAATGTGGAAAATTAGACGATGCAACATCGTTACTCTACGAAGTACCGAGAGAAAGTTCTGTTCCTTGGAATGCTATAATATCCTGCTATGGAGTTCATGGGGATGGAGAGAAAGCTCTCGAACTTTTCAGAGAAATGAGAGCTGAGAGGGTGAAGCCAGATCATATAACATTTGTATCTCTATTGTCAGCTTGTAGTCATTCAGGTTTGGTCAGCGATGCTCAGTGGTGCTTTAACGTGATGCAGGAAGAGTATGGAATTGAGCCCAGTTTGAAGCACTATGGTTGCATGGTAGATTTATTTGGTAGAGCTGGGAAATTGGAAATGGCATACAATTTTATAAAAGATATGCCGATTCAGCCTGATGCTTCTGCGTGGGGTGCTCTTCTCAGCGCTTGCAGAATACATGGAGATATCGAGTTAGGTAAATATGCTTCTGAACGCTTGTTTGAAGTCGATACAGAGAACGTTGGCTACTACGTATTGTTGTCGAATATTTATGCTAACGCTGGGAAATGGGAAGGAGTGGATACTGTCAGATCACTAGCTAGAGGTAGGGGATTGAGGAAGACTCCTGGATGGAGCTCCGTTGTAACAAACAATAAGGTCGATGTCTTCTACACCGGTAACCGAACTCATCCAAACCGCGAGGAGATATACAGAGAGTTGAGGGATTTGACTGCGAAGATGAAGACCATGGGTTACGTTCCAGACTTTAGCTTCGTACTGCAAGATGTTGAAGAGGATGAGAAGGAGCACATCCTCATGAGCCATAGCGAGAGGCTGGCAATTGCTTATGGAATTATCAGCACCCCTCCTAAAAGTCCTATTCGGATCTTCAAGAACCTGAGGGTCTGTGGTGATTGTCACACTGTAACTAAATTTATATCTGTAATTACCGAGAGGGAAATCATCGTGAGGGATTCCAACCGTTTCCATCACTTCAAGGGAGGAACTTGCTCCTGTGGGGATTATTGGTAGCATGGGTCATGATTGAATATTTGATGAAATGACCTTGGCGAATGAATTAGATTCTAATTGTGCATATCTTTGTTACGTTATGATGAATCGAGACAACTAACAACGTTAACATTATATAAGGTATTATAAAAAAAAAAAAACAAAGTCACGGTAACGGCATATAACAACGTTAAAGAATGTCTAAAAATTCTTCTAGGTATGATCCTTTAATCATGGGATCCTTTTGTTGTTGTTAGCTAGTAGTTTGACTAGCTTGATTCGAAACACATGATCATCAAGGATCCAACAAGCCCAGGCAGGAGGAATGTTATAATCATAGAGACAGATTGATTAACAGAAATTCTGAAGAATTTCAC